CTCACGACTCCTGGCTCTGCTGGAACAGCCCTTGGATGCTCTCGATGTCGCTGATTGTCTCGTTGAACACGTTCGTCAGGTCGCTGAGTACCTTCATACGGTTCCACTCGTGTCTCGTGTTCCAGATCTCGTCCATGAGCTCGCGATTGATCTGCTCAAGCTGCTCGATGGTGCAGCCCGAGGTCCTCTCGGTCAGTTCGTCGAGAAATTGTTCGACCTGGCCCTCATGGATGACAGGCTGCTGCTGCGAGGATGACGAGCCCAAGTTACGGATATCGTCGCTTGTGGATTCGTTGAGAATGTTAACCAAAGGCATAGCATGCTTAGAGTCGCCTGAGCTTCTCGACTTGCTAGGAGACGACGTTTGACTGCCGGGAGGACGGATGACTCCGCGCGCCATGCCGTGGGCTTGGGAGTGTGGCCAAGCATCGTCGCTGGAAGTGGCTTGACTCACTTGCCCCATTCCGGTGGGTATCTGCGTGTCTTGCAGCTGCGAGTTATCTCCCTGGCTAGATTGGTCTGGATGGAACCCGTTCGTTGCCTGGGTGCTCCACTTGTCTGTCGATCTCTCGGAGGGATCCGACGTTTTGGTGGTTGAAGCGTCGTTCACAATTGCAGAAGGCGACATGCCTGGGGGGACCGTCGTGACAACAGACATCTGGGACACCTGGGTAATTCCTGTTGACGGGTTCGCTTGTGGCGGCCATTGAGGCGGCGGCTGCATAGAACTGTCTTGCGTCGTGTCGTCGTCGGTCCCGCTCATGTGCACGTCACTCTGCCGCGAAGGGTTCGATACCCCGTTGCTTTGCTGCTGGGCCTCGGAAGCGCCGCCGGGTCCCGGGCTCATAACCTGGAAGCGGGCCAAGGCATGGGTCGACCCGGGAATGCGCTCACCCAGCGTGACGGGGCCCTGAGAGTCGCTGTCGTTGCCGCCGGTTATGTCGGTCTGCACGCGATCGACAACAGACTGGAAGGCTTTCCTCTTCCGCTCTTTCTCGGCTGCCGCCTTGGCACGCTGAAGTTGTCTCTGGTGTAACGCCTCCCAGTCCACGGTGCTCGTGTTGCCCTCGATGGTGGCGACGTCAACCTCGACGTTGCTGACGAGCTCGTTCGCCTTGAGAGTCCTCTCTTTGTCGCCAATGTTCTTGGAGTCCTTGGCAAGAGATTTTATGTCCCTAAGGAAGTCCTTGGGTCGACAATAGAAGCCATTCGACAACCGCTCCTCGATTGTTGTTGTTTCAAGGTTATAAAATGTCTTGCCAGTGGCTGTTTCGCGCAGCACGTCATCACCGTGCTTGTCCTTGACGATCTCGAAAGGACGATGCTCGGCACCCATGACGTCGGGGCGAACATAATTGGGATCCTTTTCGAGGAACAGATATTCCAGTTGGGCAGGAGTTATCACAGGCTGTCTGAACTTCTTGTACTTCCTGTTGATTTGGTCCATGATTGGCTGCAGTTGCACCTTCAGAATGTTGAGAAGTTGATGGTCGCGCTTCTGCATAGCCTTGACTTCCTCCTTGGTGGGTACCCTTGGTGGCGGCGGCGGGGCGACTGGTAGCTGTTCCAGAACTCTCTTCTTTCGATTGGCGGGATCAGGGAAGTCGGCTGGACTCTTCCGGACATGCTCGACGATGGCGGAGAAGTACTCTCGCCGGTTGGACTAATCCACGTCAGCGGAACTGCTTGTCAATGACCCTCACTGGGTTACTCACATGCTTCGGCCGCTCAATCTGTAGCCGGTTCTTGCGAGAGAAGGCGAACAGTTCCCGCACAAGCTCCGGGGCGAGATCCTCCCCTGCCTCATACTCGGCTGTGGCAAGCACCAATATGGGATCTGTGGGCGGGATAGACTTGAGCATCGCCTTGAAGGTGATGAAAGGCAACGTATCCCTCATGGCGGCATACCAAGAGTCGATGTTGGGGATATAGATGACGCTAGGCTTGTGTCTCTTGACCTCAGTAAAGAGGCTGACGATCACCTGCTCCATGGGCTGCAAACCGTTAGTCGCGAGGAAGCACAGTTGGTGAAGTCACTGCTTACCCGTCCATCGCCAAGCAAGTTGGGAAGGCCAAAGTTCTGAACCTGCACGCCTTCGAAATAGTGCAGCAGAGCAGACAACAAATAACTCTGACCCATGCCCGAAAAGCCATGGATCAGAAGCCTAGGACGAAAGATGCGGGAACGCTCAAACTCTTGGTGCAGAGCCTCCCGTCCGAAACCTTGGTCCTCGTCCTCGAATTGCTCGAACATGGCTTCTTCCAGCGCAGTTAGCTTCTTCTTGCGAGGAAGCACCTCGTTCAACGCCTTCTTGATCGACCCGAACTGGTCCCGCAACAGCGGCTCGATACCTTTGGGCAAGGGGGCTGCGCCAGTGCCTGCAGACCTCTCAGACGAAGGAACCATTTTCTTGATGGATAGCATGAAGTCTGTCGCGTGGATGCTGATATTGTCCGGGTTGACAATGAGCTTGTCCTTCGATGAGTAGACCTGGGGGTAGGTCCTTTGGATGGCGTTCAGTGCAGCTTCTGTGCAGAGGGCTCGGAGATCAGCACCGCCGTAGCCCTTGGTGTTCTCGGCAAGCTGCTGCTTGAACGGCTCCGAGAGCCCCCAGTCCTTGGTGTGGATTTCGAGGATTGACTTTCGACCAGCAGCATCGGGTAGCGGGAAGTAAAACTCGCGATCAAATCTGCCAGGTCTCCTGAGGGCCGGGTCAATGTTGTCCGGACGATTGGTGGCACCGATCACAATGACCTGCCCACGACCGTCCATACCGTCCATCAAGGCCAAGAGTGTTGATACGATGGAGGCATGAATCTGCTCCTGTTTACTGGAGCGTACAGGCGCCAATCCGTCGATTTCATCAAAGAAGATGATACTCGGCTGTGTCCTTCTGGCTTCTTCGAAAAGCAGGCGCAGCTGCTTTTCGGCTTCACCAACCCACTTGCTCAGGGCATCGGCACCCTTTCTCATGTAAAAGGTGATTTTGCGACCGCCGATACCGACAGAGTTGGCAAGGGCTCGAGCAAGGAGAGTTTTACCAGTACCGGGCGGACCGTGGAAAAGAACACCTCGGGGCGGCGTGACGTGGAATTTCTGGAAGAGCTCTGGGTAGAGAAGGGGGAGCTGAACCATTTCCTTGAGTTGGTCAATGTGGCCTTGGAGACCACCGACGTGGTTGAAGTCGACAGTCAGATCCACGCCAAGGGGGTCGGCATCTGCCAGGGCCTTCTGGTTCTTGATCTTGCCGACGTTCGGCGTGGCACCGACGCCCGTATCTCCGCCCAAGGGCTGTGCGAGGCCCGGCAGAAGCCCAGTTGGAGCGGCCGCGGAAGTGGGTGTCATGCCGACGTTACCAGCCGCACCTGAGCGCTGGCCCATCTCGTCGTCACTGCTGTCGGAATCAACGCCTCCCGCAGCACCTGTGCCCCAAGGGCCAGTAAGCAGTGACCCGGCACCGCCGCCTCCTCCGAAGGGGCCAAATGTCGTGTTCAGAGCGCGATCCCATGCCTGAGTTGCACCTCCGCGGCCCCCGCGACGGCGTGCAGGAGTCGGGGCAGGGTCTTCGGCGTCATCCTCTTCAATGTTGACGGCAGAAAGGGGCGGCATGAAGTAGTTCATCGGCTTCGCGGCGGCTCTGCGACGCTTTGAAACAGTTTCCTGGTAGATGATCGCGGGCGAAGGTCGTCGAGTGCGACGTGAGCGCGAGTCTTGTCGGAGTTCGTGAAGTTCCTCGGCCAACTCATCCTGGTCTAGCTCGACTTCCTCGGCTGACTCGGCGCCTCGGCGCGAGCTCCGGGTGGATCGACCCTTGGGCTTGGCGACCCTACCGCGCGGAGCCGGGCTGTCGAAATCGCCGTCGTCCCCGTCGCCAGAACCCTTCTCGGGCGACTCAGACACGTGGGCCTCCTCTTCTACCGACTCTTCACCAGGCTCGAAATCGCTACTCGGCTCTTGGACGGATTTTGACTTTCGAAGCCCATTGCGACGAGTTAGGCGTCGCTTGGGACCGTCGTCTTCGGCCTCGCCCTCAGCATCGGCATCGACGTCTGGCTCAGCGGCCCCAGCTGCGGAGTGACTTCCTCTCTTAGCCCGAGTCCGCCGCGTGATTGGACCCTCGTCTTCGTCGTCGTTATCGTCATCGGCTGCAACACCGTCGCCTTTCACTTGCTCGGTCGACTCCTTAACATCCTCCATTTCGGTATCCTTGACCTCTGAAACCGCATCCTGAACATCGCCGGCCAACTCGTCAATATCGACCTCGTCCTCGCGGGGGCCGCTGCTCTCCTGGGTCGCCTCTTCGATGGTCTCAGGGCCCTTCTTAAGTCCCTTGATCGAGCGGGAAGACCGAGTTCTGGCCAAGGCCTCGGGGCTCCTGGACCGCGAGGCAGGGCGTGAACGTCTGCCGGAATTAGTCAACTCGACGAGTTCTTCACCGAGCTCTTCTGTGCGAGCACGGGTCGACCGCCTGGTGATTGTTGCGGCAGAAGCAGGCTTCGAGGCGGACTTGGGCACCTTGAGCTTAATCATCAAGCTGTCCTTCTTCTTGGGCTTTTGCATATCCTCGGAGAGCACATCATCTGATTCTTCGGCAATGTCGGATTCGTCATCGTCGCTCTCCTTGTAGCTGTTGTGCTTCGTCGCGGCCTTTCTTGCACGGCGACCGGCAGCATTTACAGGTGCATCCTCGACTTCTTCTTCCCCCTCTTCCGAAACGAAGGAGCCCCCGTCCTGGCTATCGGAGACGTCATCTTCGTCGTCGTCCTCGATGTCTGATCCACGGTATCGGTTGTTGCGTCGCCTGCCACCAGCGCTCCTTTGATTCCTGGGCCCGCGCGATCGCTTCTTGGTGCGGGCAGGAGGTGCATCTGCGCCAGGCTCGAAGTTTTCGTCATCGGAATCCGACTTGTTGGGATCAAAATCCTCAATGTCGCGCTTGCGTTTCGTCGGCATCGTGTCTCAAGAGGGGTTGGGAACGAGAGGTGGGCGCGGTCGGGTTGGTCGTTATCGCGTCTTTTGGTTGTTGTGCACGCCGGAAGAGCTAGGAATTGCGAGGCAAGTCTGAGTTCGTGGAATCAACGTCAGCATGCCACCGATGAAAAATGGAGCAGAAGGTCATTAAAACAGAAATAAACATGTCAAAGTTGGTCTGTATTGCAGCTACCAAAAAAAATTGGGGGAAGGCCGTACCTGTTGTCTTAGCGCTCAGGGAGAAGGGTGTGCAAGAACAATGGAAGCGTCCGTCAGGCGTTGATAGTGGCAAGACAAACCCCCATTGGAGTTTGAGCAATCGGGACGCAAAAGAGAACGCGGTCGGCTTCGGTGTCGACGACGTTTGTCGCTGGGCAATTTTGCACGGCGAGATATCGTTATGCCGGCGGCTGGTGAGAAAGTTCGGTTTCGCTGAAAAACCACCATTGCGCGTTGCTGCGCGCCGCTCACCAGGTTGGGTAGAGAGTCAGTCGAGTGGGTCTCACGTGCAGTACCCACCAGCCACAGATGGCCCGGGCGCCCAGCACACTCAGGTTATCAGACTTCCATTTCGGGCCTTGTAGACCCTTTTTTCCTCAATTTAGTGGGGCATATCAGGGGCCTCATTTGCGTTGGACTTTTGCATCTTGAGATCGTCATTTCTCGAGATGAGGCATTGCGATGGGGTTTTCGGGCCTACGTGGCTGTAGCACGGTCAGCAGCTCTGTCACCCGATTTTCGTCTCGACGTGCCGAAAGTCTGAAGCATACCCGATCATCTTGCAAGGATTGACGGTGCTCCCCGGCGCGCGAGGTTAAAAAAAAATAAAAATAAAAAGTCGGGCCTGGGGCAAGTGGGTGACGAGTGTCCACCACAGCTTGTCGCATCATCGCGACCACAATAACACTCGAAGAAGGAGGAGGACTGATATTGCTTAGGCGAAGTGCGACAATGGAGTCATCAAGGCTAATCCTGTCAAAAGGTAATGCAAGATAGACGGTCGAAACGGTCAAATCGACCTTTTGGGGTGTGTAAATGGTCGCGGTGCATAGGCACGCCAAACGCCTGACGATCAACGGCAATGATGTCATTTCTCAGTTTCCATCATTGTCGAACCTCGAAACGCTTTCTTCCAGCGACGGTTGTCGTTGAAGACTCATAACGGGGGCTTTGGTGGCTTCCGAGCTTGAGCGTGTAGGTCGCCTGGAAATCCCCGCTGCTGGCTCGGAATCTTGGCTGCGACAGACTGAAAGATTGTTGCCATCTTCAGAATCACCATCTTTACATTGCCCGAAGTTCAAGCTTCACCAACTCGATCTTTTCCATCAGCCCTATGGCTCCGAGTCTGGGGTAACCCGCAAGCTCAAGCTTCCGGAACACACATGGCCGGGGAACGTGGCTGGTGCTCCCCGGCTTACGTTGTGGGCATATGCCTGAGTGCCTGAGGCACAGAGATAAGGGAGCGCTGATGCCTTGCGGCCTGAGTCCCTCCGGTGCGCCCTGCTCACTAGGCACCAGGATAACGAAGGGTCACGTGCATCGGCGCCGAGAGCTCGCAATCAACGCTAACCCGTCGGCGTCGTCCGAACATACGGGACGGGAGCGACTAACAATGCGTTGCTGACGACGCTCCCGTGCCGAGATACCGTCTGATTCGCTGACACCGACAGTCGATCATGGCCACGAGATCATACCAAGCAATGCTGTGCATGCAAACCCGGTATCTAGTGCCCGGCATTGCGCTTGTGAACGAATGAGGCTCTCAAACATCAAACACCTACTATTTCCTTGTCCGGTGAGCTGGCCTCAAATCCATCCCCCCCCTTTGGGCCAGCTTCTGAGGCCGTCAAGGATCGATCAGCCCAGTATGCAGATCCCAGCGTACACTCAGCCATTGGCCATTGAGTTAGCACAGATGCGGAAAATGCAAAGAAGAGCACCAGAAGAATTGGCCTGCCCCTGGCTGCTGCTGGCTGACGAGGCCAGCTCCACTCGCGGCTCGCGCTCTCAGATTCGGTCGCATCGATAGGGTCACCGCGACCAGCAGACCGGTCTCACGTGGGCCCACAACCGACCGGCAAATCGGCCAAGTCGGCAAGTCGGCCAGTCGGGGTACAGCATTTCTAGGCCACCGAGTCTTATGGCGTCGCCAATCCATGCCGGCCAAGCGATAGTCTGCGTGGGCCAAGGCTAAGCAGCCGTGCAGCCGCATCCAGCTCCGACGAGCCCTTCAAACATTTAAGGACGGGTACCCCGCGGTCGGGATGAACTCCTCTCTGTTCAGACGGATTATCTACAATCAGAGTCTTGTGTCCACTTCATCATACACACACCAACTCGAAAACAACTGCTCGAACCAAACCGACCATCGCAACCAATTACAAACAATGCCTTCTTACACTACCAACTTCGGCATGCCCCGCCCCAAGAGCAGCCGCGTCGGCTCCGACGCCAGCTCCGTCTATTCCGACCTCTCCGCCGCCAGAAGAGCAGTCTCGACGGACTCCCCGCGCCCGTCCAAGCGCAAATCCTCCCACTCCCAGGCGGTCAACGTCTACACCCACTGCGGTCGTCACAGCTCCCAGTTCCTGTTCGGCGGTCGCTCGTTGAGCGACCTGGCCCGCCACATCTTCAAGCGGGACTAATATCGGGGCGCTTGTGCAAAGTGTTCTTCCCAGGGGAAACATACCTCATAACGTGAAGAGTTGTTTCCCAGGTGGAGAGAAGCGTTGTCCCCAAACAGCACTCGGCAAAAAAGTGCCGATCCCGTTCGAGGCGCTGGCGACCGCGACCGCACGCCCCCGCCAAGGACTACATCGGGTCGGGAGATCCGGCAATGGCTCCATAAGACTCGAAGACGCCGGCAAGCAGCTTCCGGCGTCAAGCGGGCGAGCGGAGCCGCGAAAACCGTGCTTCCGCCGTCGCTTTTCCAGTTCGTTCTGTGCAAAGACGGCGAGTCCGCAGAGTGAAGTGAAAACGAGTGACGTGAGTGAGTCACGTGCGAGTTCTCTTCCTGTGCCAAGACTCGCGGTACCGTTGGGTAGCGACAATCGCACTTCGCTTCCACTCCGTCACGTCACGCGAGACACGAGACTTGGACAAGACTTGGAGCACAGCGCCATCGACATCCACTCCATTGGACGCAGTCCACACCCAATCTTCCTTCCTACCCCTCTCGGATTGGCGTCTTGGCAGTTCTAGGCAGCGAGTGGATGAAAGTGCTTGAATTGTGCCAAGTAAATGAAAAGAAAATATTGAGCATGGGGGCATGCGGGGGGCACCAACCAGGCTATCGCTCCGTCAACGTCTTTCTCTCTCCTGTTTTCCAACTGGACAAGGAGGGAAGTGTCTACGTAGTACCCTTCACCTCCCACCAATCAGACTCCCGCGCCGCCACCGGTTGCGGTGCTCCGCACGATGCGGAGAAGGGGGGAGCGGAAGCCGGTCGGTCGGGATTGCTCGGTGAACGTCCGTCGCGTTCCTTTTCCTTTCTTTTCTTTTTCTCTTTCCTTCTCCCCCCCCCTTCTTGCAGGAATGATAACGCACTGCGACCTGATCGGCTCGTTGGCCTGACGGACAGAAAGAAAGAAAGGGGGAGCCTGGACGACGCGAGGCGCTGGTCGGAAACCCCGATCCTTCGCGCGCACGACTCAGGAAAAGAAGGCGTTGGCCAGACCTGTCATTTTTAGGCTTTCTTGGCATGACAGAAGGCAATCTTGCAAAGGTCTCTTGAGACGGCGGCCTGTCAAACAGGCTCCAAGCCTGCTGCGTTTTTGTGGGGACGATATGCTCTGGTTCTTCCAGAATAAAAATGGTTACACTACATTTACACCATCGTACGGATACTTTGATCGATGTCCCCTTTTGATAATCTTTGAGCGCACCAAACATTCCGACTCCCCTAATACGCGATATGATGCGATGTAGATGTTGTATCTTCTAGTTTGAATTGCTTCGTTCCTCTACGTGTAGTAGGATCTGACTCATTGTGTCTACAATATGTACCGTTACTCATCAATAACCCCCCTACCGATGTCTACGTATGTATGTATGTATGTATATATATATATATATATATATATGTACGGATACGTATGCCGGTTCGTATATGTGCCACCCCTCGCTAACGCCAAATTGAACAAATCCACCCATCCTCCATGGTATCCACAAGCCTAATCGTCCGCACATCCCTAGAATTACACCACGAAAGCCCTCGTACTTCCCCCACGCGCGTGGGTACCCTAGGTTCCTTCTCCGGTTTCTGCCTATTCACCTAGCCGACGCCTTTGGCGTCCCCTGCCCTCGAATCGTCTCACCCTCATGCCATCGACCCGTCTCTAGAGTCTCGGGAGAGGGGCGGAGGGGAGGGCCCTCAGGCGGAAAGCGCGTTGAGGGTGGTCCTCGAGTAGTCCAGCAGGTTCATCTTGCCGGGGACGTTCTGGGTGTAGCGCGCGTTGAACTTCATAATCTTCTTGGCGGCGCGGTACGTGACGTCGTCGATGAGCAGCGGCTCCGCGACGACGTTCCACGCGATGCCCTCGGAGCACGGCGGCGTCGTCAGCGAGCCGTCGTACTGGTACACCTCCGAGTGCTTCAGCACGGTCCGGAGCTCGCAGAAGCTCAGGGGCACCGTCTCGGAGCGCGAGCCGGGCACCGCGACCTCGTCGACGCGCGAAAAGACGCTCTTGAGGAACGCCGAGGGGGCGCTGTTGTCGACCTCGATGAGGAAGCCAAGTACGGAGAAGCCGGGTCCCGTGGAGTCTGAGGGGGGGAAGCAGCGTTAGCCCGTGCCTGGCCCATAACAGTTACGAAGTAACAGTGGGGAAAAAAGAAAGAAAAAAAAGAGAAAAAAAGATGTGCTCGACTTACTTTTTAGTTGATCGTCGTCGGCCTCGAAGACAAAGTGCACCTCCATGGGAAAGTGCTCGCTGTCGACGCGGTGCTCACTGGGCGTGTGGAAATGGAACTGCTTCAGGTGGAACTTCCTCCCGTGCCTCGTCAGCGTGCCGTTGTGCGCGACCACCTCGAGAGTGCTGCCCAGGTTCTCGATTACGGCGCCGTGCGGCAGGTCCGGCACGTCGAATCCAAGGGTCTTGCCGGACACAAGGGCGGCCGACGTGTCGTTGAGGTTGATGGGGCTCTGCTGGACGCCCGTGGCGCAGGTGATGCTCGCGTTGTTGTAACTGTGCCAGTTGAGGGGACCCGTGATATCGTTGTAGTTAAAGCTCGCGACGTCGACGCCGCCCTCGGCGCGGGCCGTGAGGCCCTGGCCTCGGGCGTAGAGGGAAGTGCGGTGGTGGCAGATGGCCGAGGCCAAGGTGGCAAAGGGGAGGAGGAGGGAGGACTTCATGGTTGACTTGGTGTAAGGGGAACGAAGCAGACAAGGCCTCTGATTATTACTATTATTATAAGTAGTGAGTGAGTGAGTGAGAGGAGGATCGTCCAGGGAGGAGGGCTGAGGCTGACGAGAACAACATCTCACATAAGAGCTGAGGCCGGGGGGAGTGCTGCTCTTTATCCTCTTCCCCCAGTACGCCCAAAGGGGCGGTGTTGTCAGATCCCATACCGGTACAACCCTGGACAGAAAAAGCACTCAGGGTGATAGAATAAAGCATATCGGCGAGCGTTATCTCACAAGGTCAGGTGCCACCAACATGGAGATTGGCCAGACAGCTTCTCCCCTCACGCCTCCCACACGGTACTTGGCCTGCGCGGCTCGGTTACCAGGGCTGCGGGCATGAGTTCCCAATTTTCTCTCCGCAACCCCAGGAACAAGAGGCAGAGAAGCAAAAAGAAGAGACGCATGTCCCTTGTCTCCCCCTCCCCCCCCTAGTCAGGAATGACCGGGGGGCGGGTGGTTGTTGACAGAAAGGCATTAGACCCAGTTAGATGAAGAACCTCAGCAAACCCACTGTGCCAAGTGCTACGAGAGGCGCCAAGGCGAGCCAGCAACGAGAACGAAGAGGGCGCAGCATGATGGAGAAAGATTCAATATATCGGCTGGATGCGCGCGGTTTTGTTTGTCTCGGCTCGAGGAACACGGGAGTCGCAGACTGGCAACGAAAGCGAGTTAGGAAGACAAAGAGACGAGAAGTCGCACATCAATCTCGCACACAAACACAAACACATACACATACACACACACATACACATACACATACTCCGTACACATAAGCACAAACCCCGCAGAAGAACCAAATACCGGGAGGCTCTGGGTCCGAGAGCGGAGGCAGACGCGGGGCCTACATAAGCCAAGGCATCCCGCGGAGACGAGCGGGCTACCTCGCCGAACAAGCAAGGCAGTAAGCGAGCGGGCTCGGCTATCTGTTCCTTCTGTCTCTCTCGCTTCGTGTTATTTTCGTGTCTCTCTCAGCGGATGCCGGGATTGCCCTCGATATGAGAGATGGCCCTCTATGCGAGAGATGGCCAAGCTGGCTGGAACTTTTCAGCATGCCCCCCCCCCCCTTTTTTTTTTGTTAATCGATTTTGTCTTGCCCAGTAATCCGTACAGTTCGCCGCCTTCTGAAAAAAGCCAGTGCTAGCGGGCTGATTGGGAATGATGGTCCAGCCGGCGCGCGAGAGGAATGAGTTGGACAGAAGCTGGGCGTAGCCACAGCCCAGACGAGTCCGATGAGCAGTGCTTACCGGCGAGACGAGGGCGTTAGAGGCCCTATCCCGGTAAGTAGATGGTCACCGCGGCCAAGACCGTAGTAGGTTAATGAGTTGCTTTACTGGCGAGTCATAGCTTTTCCCATCGACCCGAACACTCGGAGAAGCCCACAACTGTCTGTCAGTCATTGGACGAACTCCTTATATCGATCGGGCTGGGCATTTCTTAGTATCTGGGGAATCCCGCCCTACTTGCATTTTTATTCAATTGTTTTATTTAAGTTTTCTTGGCCGGGCGTCGTCGATGGCGGCAGAAACCTACAAAATCCCAACAAGGGATTCGTTGTTTTCTCCAGGCCTCGACGACGTGTGACCTCTCTCTCTCTCCCTCATAAGAATCTCCTCGCGGAGCAAATGATGAGTGTCGTGACAGACGTGCCAAGCCAAGCCAAGGGGCTGTGTGCCCAACATGCTGGCCGCCTTGCTGCCGACATAGTCGGAAGGGTCGGACTGCCAGGGCTCGCACAACAAGCAACTCGAATGCAGCGCCATACAGGAAAACACAAAAGCTTGAGAGGCATCCGGCCGTGACAGCCGGTTTCCATCCTCCCGGTGAGAAGAGGAACAGCCAGCCGCAATCCGACAAAACGTTCGCCACGGCAATCATTCCCCCACCCCGACGTGCGTCTTGACGTGACGTCCACTCGGCGATCTGTCCGGACCACACGCAGTTCGCTCCAGCCGACTGAGCCGCCTCTCTCTCTCTCTCTCCCTCTTCAACGCTGCACCCGCTAACCACCCGTTTTCCGTCTTGTGCGGTTTTCGACTTGGCGGGATGCGGCTAGGAAACCGTTGAACGCCAACCGGCTGGGCGCTGGGCAAATGCGGAGTCCGTCTGCTCCCCCTCCCCTTCGAGCCGACGTCGCCCGGGAAATTTTCGAGCCAAAGCATGGCGACGGCCAAGCTCAACCTGGGGGGGGGGGGGACAGATGGGGATACTTCGTGAGTAGGCGGAAGCAGAGGAATCGACGCCCAACGATCGTCCGTCAGCGATCCGCTGAGACATTTTCCCCAGTCCAAGGGTGTGTGCATGGGCGCCAGACGGGTCGAGCTCTTGTGCGTGATATTGCCTGCGCTAGTCTTGTGTCTTAGGCTGTCGAGGCTAATCCAACGTCGATCAGCAACCCGGCAGACGCGGCGGAGCAGAAAAGGACGATTCGTCATTCCCTTCCATATCGGTTTATAGAGAGTGAGGAGAGAGGGAAGGGGGGGGGGGGTTGGAGAGTGGTCCTAGACTCCATCGATCCCATGGAGATACGATCCGATGGCGTGCCCACAGGCCCTCCCCCCCCCCCCCTCTTCTTGGCTCTCGTGCCATCGTGTGTGCACTGCGTGGATTGCTTGGTAAACAAGCAGCCGTGTTAGTACCCGCACTTGCGTCTCGAGTCCCGTCATCCTGAGTGGGCGACCGCAACTTCCACGTCTCCTGCTGCGCTGCCATAATCTCGTTAGACCAAGTCGGAAAAGAAGTGAAGATCAAGACGATGGAAATACCGGGGCCAACCCGGAGTGCCATCGTTATCGCCCAGATTTCAGTACCGTACTCGAGCACAGCGTTGAGCGGGCGATCCTCCTGGGCATTCAACAAGCCGCTGACCTGGGACTCCTCCGGCCCTCGCCTCGACAACGAGCCACCGTCCAAGAGACCCGTTTCCGACAGGCGAGGAGCTGTTGGAAAAGATCGTGTCCCCTGGCGATCCCTGTTGCCGACTTGGCAACCACCATGGTGTGTGTGTGTGTTTGTGTGTGTGTGTGTGTGTGTGTGTGTGTGTGTGTGTGTGTGTGTGTGTGTGTGTGTGGCTGTTGGATGTCGAATCGAGACGGACATGTCCCCTTGAAGCAGGACACTTGCGACAAAGGCTCAGTGGTTGAAAGAAACCCCAACGCATTGGTATACATCACATCACGCCCGGCATCGACAGCTCTGACCTCCCAACATTGAACTCTCCCACATAAACGTTGCAATTAGAAAACACTTCGCAAATCGAACAACCAAGCCCAGCTGCGCCCTCAACAGTCGTCTGCGCCCGGGGGGACAACGGCATGACTTCCCCCCACCCCCAAGCCTTTCATAAAGTGAGCACCCGGACATATGCAGCCTCGCGCGTCGTCGTCGTAGGGGTAGGGGGGGCACTGAGGCCAACCGCTTCGGCTGCCAGCGTTCGATCCGAATCTGCAGGCCGCCCAGTCCGGTAAATGTAGAGGCTCCGGACGTCCTCTCCCCCCCTTCCCCGGTCCGGGCTCGAGTCGTACGCGAACATTGGGTTTGGACAGGACGCCAACTTTGTTCGCGCGTTGTGGGCCGAAGCTGTCTCGCGGGCTCTTGCATGAGATTTGCTTGCGAGCGGCTGGAAACGCCGCGCTGTTCGGTATACTCTTTTCGTGCCCATGTAACGGGGGTTCTCGGAGGATTCGAGTAGCTCAAAATACTCTGGTGGTACAGGATGGCACTGCCGCGCTTATCAAGGTCTTGTGCCGCTGACACGTCCAAGGGCTCGCTGGGTGATTTTTATCCTTCTCGAGGGACGGCTGCTCGGAAAGGTTATCAGGTCGGGTAAGCTCTGGCACGACATCCCCCGAGGAAGAGTCGCCGTCGAAGCACCCGTCTTGCCGTTCCGGTTTCCAGCAGCACATATCAGACACGGAACATGGCTTGTCCCAAGGCTGTGATGGCGGCCGTAGTGTTTTTGAACCAGACTCAATGCTCTCCGATATACCAAGATCTCTGCCGTGTCAGGGGTCAAGTCATAACCCTCGCACTTATTACGGGCGTCGAGGACGGCGGCACTTTGCCCCCCCTCCCTCGTCAGCTGAGCCGCAACCGTCGCTCTTGCGTAGTCGTATCCTGGCTTTTGAACCAAACACCCCGGGGCGCTCTTGTACTGCCTAGTCGCATCTTGAGTGCCGAGCCTGGTCCGTCTCCCAGTAGCACGCGCTCAAACTCCCGCAACACGATCATGCCGCTCGCGAAGACAGACAGTCCCTAGCCATGTAAGTCGGGCAGGTTTCCCAACCCTCCCCGGGAAGAACAGGGCTGTCCCTCTTGCACAGCGACCCGAGTCTTCTGGGGGCCGGATCAGGTGGGCAATACCCAGACGATCGACTCACGAAACCGCTAGATAGAGCCGCCGGATGGGGTACCCGGATGAAACATGTCCGTGTCGGGTCGGCGGTGTTGAGCGCTGTTCATCTTGCGGCATGAAGCGCATGCAGAACCCAAATATGCATGTTGTCGAAGGGCCTATGGCCTCGTATCACGCTTTTAGGGCTTCTTCCGGCGACGACTTTCACTTCGGTTTGCCAATTCACCAGCGAACAGCAAAGTCCGTTACATGACCTCAACGGTCAGTGGTTGTCAAGGCCATTAATGCACCATGGTTGAGGTGAAGTCTGGTTTGGCGGCTGATCTGCGTTACCAGGTATTTTGTATCGTATCAAGAGACTGAGATATGGCATAGGCCTACGTATCGGGTCATGAGGATCGTGATGCTCATGTACCGGGTAAAATGGGGTAGACAGCTTATTGGGGGGGGGGGGGGGGGTATTAAACGACTATATTCCATAATCACATGTCATTCAAAGTGAGAGGGAAAGTCCGAAGGACAGCGTCTAAGCCGGCCGCTCGAATGGGCATATCGCACGCAGTACGTGAGGTCTCCGGTATGCGAGTCACATGAACGGCAGGCAAAGCCTAGTATTTAAGCGGCGTGAACCGGACATAGATCACCAAAACCGCGTCGTCGGGGATCATGGCCGAGTTGAACTCGCTCGGCAGAGCGTGTATGGAAACCACCGAGCCGCGTATCCCCGCAGGCTCGTCAGTGTGAGAGGGGTGGGACAACTTCGGCCGCCACCGGCCACTCGCATGTCCGGACGCTGCTTCTCAGCTTTCTCAGCCTTCGCATCGATGGATGCGCCGTTCATACCAACAGGTCAGCAAAAGTCACCCCCGCCGGCGGTCCCGCTCCAGAACCCCCGGAGGACCACTAGCCCCCCGGTCCCGATCGGCGCGGAGGATACTTCGCCATGCTCGACGGGTCGGTCGTGTGTACCGGCTCGCACTTCGGCCCATCGGTCAACCTGCCCTTCTCACTATGTTCTCGACACAGCCATGCTCGGAACAGACCCCGCCGTCGCCTCGCACAACGTCAATATATTCGGGGGTTATACGTCATCGAAGCGCTCTCCAGCCCGCCCGTCCGCCTCACACCCTCTCCTCCCCAGCCCCCGTGCGACATAGCATCCCGTCCACTGGGTCCGGATGCGGTGTCACTCAGAGCCCCCACCCTTACTCTTCACCGCATATAGTCGAGGCGAGAAGTTGGCAAATGGCTGTCTCCCCCTGTCTCTTCGCGCAGCATTCCGCGGTGATGACTTTAGAGAGAGAGAGAGAGAGAGAGAGAGAGAGAGAGAGAGGCTAGCGGCCAACTTTAGGGTAGCAGGTTTCTTTCTCATGCCAGACGCAACTCTGAGGGCGGCGGCGGTTATCCCGCTCGGTAATTGTGTGAAGCGTAGGAAGCCCCCACCTCCGACACTGATCACACGCCGTACGAGTCGCTGCAGCTGGCTGCACATGGGAGTGGATCGGAACACAGTCTCGCAGCCGCTCAAAGTGCGACGTCAACTCACGCTCGGCTTGGCCCTGGAACGAGGAAGTGACACCGCCGGGCTGTGACATTGACGGGCTGGATGGCGACGTCCAAAAAGCAGGCGGAGCACGTAAGACACGTCGAAAGGCGGAGCCCGGGTCGGCGGTGGCGCTTCATCTGTAGAGCGACGCTGTAAAGCGGACATTTCATCAAGGCACTCGCCACGAGCCTTCCTATCCTTGTGAGGTTGTCTCGGTGGTGGGAGTCAAAGGTGTGTCACGGCATCCCGTATTGACCATGGCATTGTTCCCATTGCCTCGCTCTGCACGGCTAGTTCAGCGGGTGTAAGTGGAGGAACGATGCTAGCGGCAGGCCTTTCCCAAGAGCCCCCAATGTATGCACAGAAATGGATTCTATTCCCGGAGTCAGGGAAAGGGCCGCTAGGGCATCCGAGTTGGGACTGGACCATATGCCGTTTCGAGTGGGTTCGGACGAGTTGAGTTCCCAAAATGGCAATCCGTTGAAACCGGGATGTTTTTGATGTGTTTGCCCGCCATTTGGACCCCTTTGGGGGGAATGTGCGGCCTTAAGGTGTCATGCTATTGGAAGCCGCGGGGTGGAGGAGGAGGAGGAGGATCAGGGCAAGCGGCCGCTTCGTTTCGGCTCTAACGCTTTGTTGAATACGAGACCGCTTTTATCAGCAACTCTCCATTTTGCCCCCTTTCCCCCTCCGATTTTCATGATCCGAACAGGGCGCGTGTTTAAATTGATTGTATCTCGCTAATCGGCGGCTCGTGGAGTATGGTCTTGTGCTCCTGGCCTCGGCAGGTCTATTCGCAGATGAAAAAGACGCCCCTATGTGGGTATGGGAAGAGTTGTGGGAAATAAAATAAAGTGCGGGGATGCCGGTTTGGTTCCTCTCATCTCACCGCAAGTGATCTGTCATCCGGGACAGGGACGCCCTCGTCGGTCGACATGTTCAAGGGGGACATGCCCGGCCTTGGCCACGACAGTTTGCAGGTGCCATTCGGGATTGTGACCTGGGAAGTATATGCTAGCAAGTGAGCCGGTCAATGTGGCCACTTCGAGAGGGCTTGCGTGCCTTCGCATTTGCCGTTGCCCTGCATCGCCTGGTCGTCGGCTGCAGCGCTCGCGTTGCGCCTCGCTGCAACTAGAAGTTGCTTTGAAGCACAACATTCAGGACGGTCGACGAAAGACAGGTGGGCGGACGGGATCAACTCCGATAAAAGATAAAATTAAAAACAACAAAATCGTTACCCGTCATCCGTGCCGCCAGGCCGTCAAGGCTGTACGTAGATGATGGTCTGTAAACTCAGGCCGTGCTGGTATCGGCCGACTAGGATACATCAGACGCACGTTGGAAGCTCACAGGTCTCTCTGATCGCGGGGCGTCGGTCAATGTGAGATGCTGTGCGGGTTGCGCAAGTGTGCGAGGATTCGAAAGCCCGCCCTCCGTCTCATACACACAGATTCTCTGCGACCGAGGACATGCCGCCTGACCCCGCACTGTCGTTCGTGGCTTGCCGCCCAAGTTCATGGTGGAAAGGGGAACGGGCTTTTCGAGATGATGAGGCAAAGCTGACGGCGATATGTCTTACAATTCCTACATCCGCGGCCTGGGGAAAACGCTGGCCAAACACGCCACGTTCGAGCCGTCAACCATTGAAGCATCGGCTTGGCCAGCGCCCATTGGTGGTTGAAGCAACTGTCGAAACAGGGTTTCGATTTGTACAACCGGGCTTTGGTTAGCGCTCACTGGTTCGGAGCTCAGCCGTTGACCGCCGGCAAGAAAACGTATAACCATTCCACGGATGGGCTACATGGCCAGGACCCTGACTGAGCTTCCGCCACTGCGGATGCAGCGTATCGGCAGGGTCGCGGCTAGTAGGCAGCCAACCCCAGCCCAAGGGGTCGTGTGCCGTTGGCCGCTCCATCGAACGGCCAAAACTCGTAGCGATCACCATCGCGTCGGGTCTGGTCCAAGAAGATGGCGATAGCACCATCTCCACAGAATGCGTCTGATCTTCAGCGACTGGCCAGTGCCAGGACTCCGTCTGGACGACGCACGGCTCTGACCTTGGATGACGGGCTTGTTCTCTTGCTCCTGCAGCCTGCAAGGTTGATCCAGATAACGCGCAGAGTTCAGATGGGCCGCCCGCCCCCGCCTTGCCATCTCCCACAATCTGTCGAGGGAAAAGACCACCTTTGGTTTGCACCGTGCATGGACGACAGCCGCGCTCTCTCCCACATACCGGTACTTAATTGACACAAACAGGCCTGCCCGGGCCTGTGCAAGTTCACGTGCAGTGCGCCCGCCAGGGGCTGTACGAATCCGAGGCGGATCTCACTATCGGAACCGCGCTGAAGCTGCTGCTGCTGCTGCTGCTGCTGCTGCTGTTCCTGCTGCTGTTCCTGCTGCTGTTGCTGCTACTACTACTACTACTTTTAACCAAGGGTCGCGCACGTCGTTGGCGTGTCTTCAATTCCCCGCAGGGCCTGAGCAACGTCGCGCAGGATGAGTTGCATGTGAAGCCTCAGCGTTGCAGTTGTGAGGATCTGAGGGTCCGACCAATAATGTTTCGCCATTGGCCCCCGCATGGCGTAAGAAGGAATCGTGGACTGAAGCCCGTCCTAGTGACCGAGATGTGAGGGGGAGAGAGAATGACAGAGGGTTCGGAAAGCGGAAAGGAAAGGGAATGTTGCTCGCGCCTCTGTGGCTTTTTCTTATCATTAGCAGTGACCCAAAGCCATTTGGGGTTGAAACAGCCGGTGAGTTAGATCCGTGGATTTAACACTAGTATGAACCAGCCCAGGCGTTGAGGCAGCAGCGCGCGCCATCCAACCGAACGATTCGAGAAAAACGTCGTCCAGCCCGCAGAGAAACTGCTGGAAGGCGTCGCAAGCCTGGGTTGATCTGAGTAGTGGCCACACGTACCGAGGAGAAGCCATTCTTGTTTTCGGGACGTACGCTGAGCGAATCGCCGCCGTAGTATTAGCTGACGTGGAACAGGCCCGAAATCGAGTGCCGAGACATGCCTCGACCAGCAGCAGGCCGGCATACAGGTAGACAGCGGTTGCTTTCGAGACCTGCCAGCCACAGGGCCGGCTTGGCGATTCCGAACACCGCCCGACGTAGAGGTGCCCGCCCGCATCGTCGAGCCCATGGGATGACCGGGAGCTCTCATCGGTGATGCCCTACCAGATCGGGGCATGTTCGCGGGAGGGGGGAACCCAGAACGGCATGCAGGTAGCCAATCTCCGTGGCAAGACGGAGGTTGTGCGGTCTAGTATCTCGCGATTCGGCGTGACCAAATCACTAAACTAGATGGTAAACCTTGGTAGAGCGTTGGCCAACATGCCTACACTCTGGACGGGGAGGTAGGCGAGCTTGTTTTGTCCGTCGACTGGCGACCTGGCGTCGGGGTAACATCGGCGCCGGATGCAATACTGATCGAAAGGAGGAAAGACACGGCGACGACGGTGTCCTCCTCGCAGGGTGGTCCGCCACAGCGTTCTCTCCAAGTAAAGCCGTGTGGCTGGTTTGAGTGAAGCATGCCGTTTAGGCATGTCGCTCCCTGGAGGAGGGGGGGGTTGTTGTTGACGGGCAGGGACGAGGGTGGTTTGAACCATTGATGTTTTCAGCGGAAGGGTTTGCTTCAGGCTGGTGGGCTGAGGCAATCGACAAAACGTTGCTGCAAGCAGCCGGAAGTTTGTCGATGATGTCGGGCCAATGAGCTAAAGTTCTTCGTACCTACTTCGACGGCGAAGACCCGTATGAGATGAACTCGTGATGCATTTGCGAGGCCCGGCTCTATACCAGCAGTCCTCGACCGTCCAAATGTGAACAATTCCGTCATTGGACTGCCGGGAAGACGGCTCAGTGGTTATGTCAACCTGTTTGTCATGGAGAGAGCCAATAAATCCGCCCAGGGACGGCCGTTTCGAGCAGACATAGGCTCGTCCTTCAATCTTGTTGGATGCCGCTCAACGCTTTAGCTCGATGCGCGTAGATAGGTACAACCATGCATCCACTACCTATGTAGGGAGTAAAGAGTCCACGTAGCCGACATGGGCAAGTCTCTCGGTGTCAATGCAGATGTCGTGGCGGTGTTGTTGGAACGAAAGGACAGAAGGCGGCCGGCCCATGGAAAACAGAGGTATATACTGTTACTGTGTACAATACACACCCAATGACCGCCGTGCTCACTCAGCGTCCCTCCAGACACGTCGGAGACGCAGCATCGCAGCATTGCAGCAGGGCTGAAGTGGCTGTCTTTGGCTACCTAGGACGGTGGGTTGTGCGTTGCAGGGAAGATGCAATGTACTCCCAAATTGCCTGCGATGGGGCCGGTCCTTGTATATCATGCTGGCGGGCCCTGATCGGCTCGCCTCTGTGGTTGCTAGCTAACAAGAAACCTTTCATTTCCAAAGCATGAGATCCAGCTTGGGGTGCGGAGCACCTGGCCGGTGCTGTCCGAGGAGTCTGTTTCTTCTGCAAGCTCATATTTACATGCATAGATAGTTATGGCAGGGGGTGCGACATACCGTACTTATGCCAATAACGACAACAGCAACAACAACAACCACGCCCCGGCTTGCTAAGAATACATACTCCGAGGGCAATCAATTGCTTGTCCTGCTTAGTACTCCGTATTGCGGACGCATCGCTTCGCATCCATCCCCATCGACAAGGGCACCGGACAGTTGTAGGGGGCCGCAACGCCACCGCTGTCGCCGCCAAAAGCGATCAGGGCCCGTTGGCAAGCATGCTAGCCCGCTAGCGTCTACGAGCATACCCGCCCCGTTACCGTTTGTCGATTTTGGCCCCCCTTTTTGGCGTGGCCTGTGTAAATCCCGTGTATGCTTGTCGCGGCCCTCGTCGCGCTTGAACCGTCGCCACTCGCGGTACGAGATGTCGTGTTGTGTACGGAGGAGAGTACGGAGTAGTGTGTACAGGGTATGCGGAGTGGACCGGGGCATAGCTGGTAGCCCCTTTGCATCCAAGTGTTTGTGCTCGCTCTCCACGTACGACATCTCCGTACGATGGATGTCGCTTCGCTGCCCGCCTTTATCGAGTGCTACTACTGGGCGGCCCGTTGGTAAGAGATCGCTGGTCGCCAGACTGTCTTGTGGGCCCCCTTACTGGTCTTTGGGACGTGGACTAAATATAGTGTAATGAGACGGACTAACGGCCTTAGGGTCAAAGGAGAGGACGGCAAAAGATCAAAGAATGACAAAAACATGCAGCTCCAGCTAGCTGTGCGGTGGATGAGTCGAAGCTTGGGCGTTTGCAAACGTCATGAAAGCTGTCAACAACGGCGGTGGCTGTTCTCCAGAACCGGGCAGGTCGGGGTACTGCTGCATTCTGAGCGCGCAGGGTGAGTGTGTGCGCGTTGTATATAAAGTAGCCAGCTGATGTGGTGGTCGGACGGCACATCATGTTATACCATCTCCTGCCGATTTCAGGTCAGACGGTGCATGACGATGCGGCCGTGTAGTGTGCGCGCCGCGGTTGTCTGGGTATAAAACATAGCGTCCGATCTAGGCTTGATAGCTAGGCACGAGTGCTGATGCCGCCAAGCTGCAGAGTTCACGAATAGCGGCTCTATCATTTCCTCTTCCTTCCCCGTAGGTAACTGGACCGCCTGGAAGACCAGGCTAACCAGGCCAAATCCCGCAAATTGACACCTGTGGAGGAGTGAGGGACGAAGCAGGCCGGTGGAGGAGTAGTCATGGAATCTTCCCCCGTTAGGACAGGGGCCGCCGTCCCTTCCGATATGCACGTAGTATTACCTCACCACCTTTGGCAAGGCGAAGCAACCTGCGGTGGGGTACTTTGGAAGTCAAATAAGGGGGGCGGGAAGGGTGCTTTTGTTTTTTCCCTTCGTATCCGCCGATCCATCCCACGCAGCTGATGACTGCCAACTGCACCACGCCGCACACTGCACTGCACTGCAGAAGGGGAGAGACACGTCCAAAGACAAGATTGAGGCGACCGGAGTCGTGATTGGCTAACGGGGTGGGCGAGGTATGCTGCTGTTGTTTTTGTTATTGTTGCTGTACCGCCGTGGCGGCCTGCTGTCTGTCTAGCCTGCCGAGAGATGCGTCGACGAGCCTGTGTAATACCCGAGGCGAACCTACGGTGTAAGTAGAATCCGTACTTGGCACAATCGATATGGCTGGTCATTTAAGCCGAGGAATCTGCATTTCGTTCCATTGTGTAGGTGGATGGTGCGGGTGTGCGAGTGCGGGTGTGCCTCAATCCCGAAGAAGCGGCTTCCAGTTGGAGGTCGGCACCACCACCTAAACTACTTTAGGTACCTGGCTGGCTGGTCTTTCATCCGTCCTATCCATCTCTACAGTGCTTGCTGCCCGCAGTGTACTCTGAAGAAGGGGCCCGAGACGAAAGGCTGAGAAAGTGTGGTGCAGGTGCGAATGCTTGGCAAGGTTGGCTTGGCGGTCAGGTATCAGCGTATGCGGGTAAACAGCAATGCAAACATGGCCAGCTCTGGGCGTTTCGTTTCCGACTCGCTGGACGTCTTGGACGTTCTTTGGACGTTCTCTAGTGTGGGCGCAAGGCAAGACGACGGTGGACTGTTGATGCGCGTGTTTGTTGCTCCTGGAGCGGCATCTCATATTTCGTCTGACTGTGCCTGGCCCGATGCCCGGACCCGGTGCCGCATCATCTTTTCTTGGTAGCGGGTGCACCTAGGGGGAGGGGTTAGAGGAAGAAGAGGTAAAGAGAGAGATAGAGAGAGAGAGAGAGAGAGTGATGCGTCGACGGCGCTCTTATTTGTCGTGCATCTGCGTGTGATTCTTGCAGAAGCGCTCTTTCTTGCTTTTCAGCCCGGCGCAAAAGTGTGTCGCGTCCAATGCCGTGTTCCCGGCATTCGAGTACGGAGGTGAAGGCAGTGACGGGATTGGCGCGTCGACATGTTGTGGTGTTGGTGGCATCATGCGAGGGTGATGCGCAGCAATGTTTTTTGTTGATTGTCTTCAGGGGTTCCTTCCGGGCTTGGAGAGGCACTCTGATGACCGCGACGGGCATTTCCAGTCGTCCAGGAGCAACAGGAGCAAGGGGTAGCGTGGTTGTGATTCGCCGCCTCTCGTTAGATCGCCCAATGACAGGATGCCAAAATTCTCCAGACCGAGAGACAATTCCCTCCACGGGTGAGGAGACGAAGGAGAGACGCGTTCTGCCCATTCCTGTTTGGGTTATTTGGGGGGGGGGGGGTGAAGGGATCCGCCCTGTGTGGCCAACGGGGATGTTAATGACGACGGCGGACTGTTTTCGCACAGGGCCTTCGATCACTTCAAGTCCCACGCAGTATCCATAGTAGTCCGTGACGTTCCCTTCCCCTCCCCGTTGGTGGATTCCAAGGGTCAGTGTTCGTTGTTCCTCTTCCGACCCTGCGTGTCAAGTTCGCCCGCTATGGCCACAGCTCAAGTGGGCGAGATGTTGCCGATGCGATGGATGTTGCTGTTTCCGAGAGGGGAAAGAAAGCAAGGCAGGAAGAGGAAAGTCTTGTACCTGGCTAGGCTGGACAGGACTGGACTTGGACAGGGCTGGCTGTACTGCACTGTACCTAGATAGGTATGGCATTGATTGGTATGAGGCAAGTGAGAGGAAACGCTCGAATGTTCCTCTCCCTTTCTTTCCCTCGGCCTCCTTCTCTCTTTCTCTGAGACCACACAGCAGGTAGCCCCAGTTCACAGCACTTACAGGGCCAGTTTGGACCAGTCAGACACGACGATGCCGAACAGGGATCACCATGGTGCTGCAGGAAAGTACAGGGTATGTGTCTGTACAGACATGGGATCAAGGATAGGGACCGAAAATCCAGGACGTGTGGATGTCCATTTGCCAGGTGCTAAGACGCAACGCTATGTACCTTCAACGCCACAGAATGCGGCAGAGGTACTTTGGTCTGTGAGTCTCCATAGTGGACCTCCATCTTTGGTCTGTCCTGTCTGGCTCCAGTAGACCAATGCAGGCAGCATCGGTACGATACCAAAACCTTCCCATTTGGCAATCTCCATCTCGACCCTTCCACGTACCCCCCCTAAAGCAAAGCCGCCATTTGCCCATCCATTTGCCTTACCTCGCCTTGCCTGGCCTGACAGAACGAACGTCCTTCTCCTCCTCTCCTATTGGAAACTCCTTCTCACCATACCTGACTTCCTCACTGTGTATCCCCTCAAAAAAAAAAAAATAGTCTCACCCTTTCTCTTCCCTTTCTTTCCCCCTTCTTCTTTCTATTCCCCCCCCTCTTCTACCGGTTCTCTGCCCCCAATTCCACCCTGCCCCTAGAACCCATTCATTCCATTCCATCCACGTACCCCCTTTTTTTGTCATCGTCCCCCCCTCCCCCAAAGGAAAAGGAAAGAAGAAGAAAAGAAGGAAGGAAAAAAAAAATCACGAATTCCTCCAGAGGCTGCCTGAAGCTCAAAGTCCCTTCCCGCTGGGTCTCCATATTCGATTGCTCCGATCACATCTTCGCTCCGTTCATCGCCTATTCCGCCTTCCTGTCGTTTTCTGTTCTTCTACTACCTACCTAGCCACCCATCCCATCCCGTCCATCCTGTACCGAGACTGAAGAGAGAAAGAAGAACACCACCGCGCCCTTGCTACACCTGACGCATGCCCATCTCCTTTTTATGATCTAAACGTTAAAGATACAAACCTACCTCAGACTCGACGACAAGCCGAGCTCGTCTGACTTACTCGACGCCATCGTCCCGACGACTACTCTGCCGCGATACCGAACCGGATACGAGTGCCTCATATTCCCATGTTCTTGGCCGACTGATAGCTTTGCTTCGAGTTGTCACTGTGACACTTGATCTTCTCTACCCTCGGTCGACTGTTCTGTCGTTTAGTGCTCGTCCTCTCTAGAGCAGAAGTGTTTCGCGGTAACAGCGAATTACTCTCTGTCTTGCCCTCGCCGAATCCCTCGTTGTTTTCCCCTGGCCGCAGGCGACCTTATTTTCCAACATTTTAAACGGGCACTTCCATTTCGCCCAGGAAAATATCAGACAACACCGGGCAGGTTAGCTAGCCTGTCTCCGTGGGCTATCAAATAGAAGAAAGGTTTGTAGGATATGCGTCGCCCTTGCTTTTACAGACACCCTCACCTTTGTAATGTATCGCATACGCATCAACCGCGTGGGCATATTCGCCTGCTGCCGACGGCCGCGTTAAGTTGGTTCAACTTTGCTAACATGATCCATTTTGCCAGTTTCGAGAGTTTGCGCCCTGCAAATCGCTGGCCACAGCATCGTCCACGCCACTTGAACCTTGTGTGTATGAGTGTCGAGTGAACCTGGGCAGGTCGAGCGACTGAGCGACCGGCGAAGAAGAACTCGTTTGGCACTCCTCTATTGTCGGCTGCTTGGAACATGGCCGCGTTGGTTCAAACGTATCCTCAGCAGACCACCACTGTCACCACCCTCGAGCCGAGATCCTCCGGCAGCATGATTCCCGCACAGGCTCAGGCGAATCAGCAATACATGGCTGCCCAGCAAGCCCAGAGAAACTTCTCCGGGTCTGGCGTATACCGCGGGAGCAATGCCCCGATTCAGCCATACGCCTTTACCAGTACCCCGAGCCTGAACACCAACGGCCAGTGGCAGCAGTACGGTAGCGGCTACCGCACATCGTCTTCCCCAGCTGTTCCGACGCAGGGCATGGTCCACGGACAAGACGCAAGCCGATCCCGTCATTCTGGAAGCTCATCCATGTCCAGCGCTAGCTACGGCCACAGCAGCATGGGGACAAGCAAAAGCGGGTCGAGGGACGACCTGGCGATTCCTGCTGCTCGCACGAACTCGCAGGCCCCGAGACCACAGTCGGCGTACTTATCTGGCAACGCAACACAACAGCAGCAAATGACATTCGCTCAGACCCCTGGCACTAAGACAACGCCTGATCGGTACCGGCGCCCCGCTCTTCAGCAACAGCAACCACGCCAAACTAGTGCCCCTTCAGGCTCAGGCATGGCTACGGTTAGCCATTTGTACAATGCCCCGGAACAAAAGAGCGTGTCAGTGCGAGGTCGAATGCCATCTTATCAGGGCAGGCCAAACAGTTCCTACGATGTGGTCGATGACATGCAATTGAATCGGCAACCAACCGAGGACAGGCGACTCAGGCGGCGCAGCATGCACTCGCTTGATTCTGCCGATTATCCCAAGCCGCTAATCCCACAGGAATTCTCCCATTCGGAAGAACCCCCCCGCCCCGACCGCCGTCCTACTCCCAAAAACAACGAAAAGACGCTTCGCATTGTTTCCACCCTCACACCTCCCGCCGACAACAACATGCATGTCCGTAATGGCAGCGCCGAAAGCCTGGCTTCGAGCCGCAGTAGCCATACACACCCGTCTTCGGTGAGTAACCATCCCCATCCTTACCCCTGTCTCTGTCGTTTCGCCGTCGGCGTCTTCGTCTCATCCCTTCATTCGATTGCCCAATCATGCACCGGCCCGATCATCCTGAATCGTTCCATCGCTAACAAGTTTATTTCCGCCAGTCTGCCAACCGCAGCGTACCCGCCCCCACCGTCAACCCCCCCTCTTCTTCCTCGACTTCTCCCAACCCAGATGACGGCTCGTCGAAACAAGATCATCCCAAGCTTGTGACCATCCCGCCACGAAGCTCATCGTCAGATGCGGCCAAAAAGCAGTCAACGCCCTCTCCCCTTTCCCAGCCGGCGACGATGGCGACAGACTCGAGTCCCCAAAAACCACCTTCCTCTCTGGGCAATGCTCCGCAGCAGGCGTCGGCTCCGGACACACCCGCATCTAACGCAGTCAATGCCAGCAGTCCCGCCGCCCAGCATCTGGCCGCGATCAATCAGAAGAGCACAAGGTCGAAAAGCAAGACATCGCGATTGCGCAGAGCCTTCTCGTTTGGCAGTGCTGCCGATTTTAAAAAGGCCGCCGGCCCCGATATCGCTCCTCCTGAAACCAGTACCGCGGCCGACCCGTCGCGACTGCACAAGGACCCGACACCTGCTGAGATATACGATGCCGAACAGGCTGCTATTGCCAAGAAGCAGGAAGAGGGGGGAATCGGAAACAGCATCTACGGCGGGCGTTTGTTCTCCAGCTCGACGGACAACCTGTCCATCTCATCGACCGCGTCATCTGCTTCCATCATGATCCGTAAGATGGGCCGTGGTATGAAGAAGAGCACGCGAAACCTTGTTGGCCTGTTCAGACCTAAATCGGTAATCGGCGTTCCAGCAGCCGATGCAATGACTCCAGAAGCCAGCCAGGCTGCAGTGTCTATGATCACCGTTGAAGCTGAAAGAGTCAACGTCAATGCGGATCCTCGTACGCAAAACGGCGGCGGCACTGGGTTCCCCCACTTGGAGCGGAACTCTCTCGACATCTCCAACACTCCCAGCATGGTATCCGAACGCGCTGGGAGCTCCGGCAACGACAGCGCCGGACGGAAGAGCATTGTCGGTGGCGACAGGGAGCGCGCCGAGGTGCTCGCAGCCGTCAGGAAGGGGATCCTCAAGCACAACAACAATAGCAGCAACAACAACAACAGATCAGGCAGTCCTGCTCGTGAGCGCACTTCTAACTTTGAACTGCCCGCGATTCCCAACATCGCTGACTCGCCCATTTCCACCGCTCCGAGCACGCCGAGTGATGAGGCACAAGGTCACAAGCGATCAGGATCAGTGGCTATCGGCACTGAGGATTACTTCATGACCGCTCTCAGGCTTCGTCAGGACAGCAAGAGTGCCCCGGGAACGCCTTCAGGATCGGCTAAGAGAAACGCAACTTTCTCGCCAAGGATTATCTTCCACGACACATGGCCGAGCGGCGAGTATGATCGCAGGGGCGAGATTGCAACTTGCAACCGCCTAACGCCGATGCTGGCACAGCAGATCAAGGAGGAACTCAACACGTTCAAGATGGTATGTCGGCACTCGAGACCCGCCCTCTTGGTTTTCTTTTTTTCTTCTTCTTCTTAAACGCCGTGCACCGCTAATCATTTCCTAGGAAATGGAAGTTCATGAAAACTCCAAGATTTACACGCACTTTTTCTAACGACGGCTACGCCTGCGAGACGGAATCTTCCCAACTCTGTTTCTTGATGGGCAGCAACGCCCGATCATGTATTTCCACTACATTTACCTTTCGACGGCGTTCAGGAACAGCATCGTCCGGCGTCAAGGCGTTTATCGATCGTCACTTGACAGCATTTTCTTGCCTGACTGAGAAGCATACGCCGGCCGCCCTTTGTGGACTAATTCTCTGTTTTTCATGTTATTGCGACGGGTGGAATGGCAAGCATACGAGCAAGGCGGCCGGAGAGGCAGGATGGCCTTCGACATCCAGTCAGTGCAGACAGATGGCGGGCTAAAGACCCGTTTGCATTTGGGCAGCGATTACACGGACCATGGGGACACGACGGCAGCAGTGATTTGCGGCCTCCTATCATCTTACACTTTTTATTATTATCAGATGGGGCCCAAGCCCTGTGGCGATAGTAGCATGCGGACTCTGAAAGGATCTCTTTGCTCGCGCTTGGTACTCGGTCGAGCTTTACTGTGTTGGTATCTGCTTTGTTGGAGGGTCAAAGGACTTCTTTCTTCTTTCTTTATCTGTCTGTGGGTTCTCTTCGAATTACATTGTCGCCTTCTAGTTCGTCGGGTCAAGAGAAGGCAGAATAGAGTGTGCCTTTTTTTTTATCAGGAAAAAAAATAGCTTGAGTCTCAAGAGAGGCCTCGATGCTGGTACCGACCGCTCCAGCGAATTGAATACTTTTAGAGCGCACTCAGTTATGGCTGTGTGGGGGAGAAGGACTTCCTCACTCACATGTGACAGCTATCCACTTGCGACAATCGCGCGTTGATTTTTTGCATGACTTGACTCGCCTGACACACGGTCTCGGTGCAGGCCTTGGACGACGCTCGCTGGGTCCCAGAACGAACAATCGTACTTTGTCCAGGACATTTGACAATGATGCAGCTTGCTCACCCCCTTAGCTACCTAGACACCTAGAAAGGGAAGTCTTGAGATACCTAGTTCAACTAAGGTACCTACGCATCAGCCTGTCTGTGGTGGGTGACACCCAGACGCATGGCCCCACCAACCAGATAAGACACCTCAATCCGGGGCTATCAGCCTCGCATTCTATCTGGCGCAAGGCTCGACGAAAAAAAAGAAGAAAAAAAAAAACCTGATTTTGTCACGACCGTCGCCTTCCTTGGTCTCATACGGATGACACGCGACTGGCGATACTACAATTGGTTGCATAGCCCAGCTTCTAGACAACCGACACACTGGAGGGCCTATTCAGGCTGTGGAGGCTCCGGACGTCTCAGACAAGCCGGCTCGTCCGTCATTTTTCCTCGATAAAGATGGCGACAACGATCGAGACCCCAACCGCGGGGCTTGAGGCCGGAACAGCTGCAACAGCCAGGCCCAAGCTGCATGGTCGGGCTTTTTACGAGAGCATTGGAAGCCCAAAGTACATTCTCGCACCCATGGTAGACCAGTCCGAATTTGTAAGTTTGGCGCAGCTCGTGCCGGTTTTTGTGAAAGGGCATGGTTTTGAACGGACCGCTGACGTTGGACATCATCGCTGCAGGCCTGGAGAATGCTGAGTCGATCGTTCATGCCACCATCTGAGCAGAAGAATCTGGTGGCCTATACGCCCATGTTTCACGCGCGGCTTTTCAAGGATACGGAAAACTACCGCCAGTGCCACTTCCAGGCCGCGCGACCCGGTGACGCAAACGATACCACCTCAACGCCGCAGGCCTGGCTCGACGGCAACCCCTCCATCGACCGCCCGCTCTTTGTACAATTCTGCGCAAACGACCCCGATGCTCTCTTGGGCGCTGCGCTGAAGGTTGCTCCGTACTGCGACGCCGTCGACCTCAATCTGGGATGCCCGCAGGGCATCGCCAAGAAGGGAAAATACGGTGCCTTCCTACAAGAGGACCAGGAGCTCATTTTCAAGCTCATCAACACCCTGCACCGGAACCTGCCGATCCCCGTGACGGCCAAGATCAGGATACTGCCCACGAGGGAGGCGACACTCGCGTACGCCAAGAATGTACTGTCGGCCGGCGCGTCGATCCTCACGGTTCACGGAAGGCTGAGAGAGCAAAAGGGTCACTTGACGGGCCTAGCAGACTGGAGTACCATCAAGTGGTTGAGGGAGCAACTGCCGCCGGAGACGGTGCTTTTCGCCAACGGAAACATCCTGCAGCATGACGACCTCCAGCGTGCGTTGGAGGCCACGGGCGCAGATGGCATCATGAGTGCCGAGGGAAACCTCAGCGACCCCACCATTTTCAGCCGTCCGCCAGAGCCCGGAACAGAGACGCGGGAATACTGGCGTGGCAAGGATGGCAAGGGCGGGTACCGCGTGGACGCGGTGATGAGGCGGTACATGGATATCTTGCACAAGTACGCCGCGGGCGAGGAGCCGCCATCGAGGCGGCCTCTCTTCGTGCCCGGCGACGACACGGCGTGGATGGAGGAAATGGACAAGGCGCTGGCGGAAGAGGAAGAGCCGGAGCGCAAGAAGCGCAGGAAGGACACGCCCAAGCTGGGGAAGAGCCGGACCCTGAGCCCCAACTACTCGGCGATGCAGCCGCACATGTTCCACCTGCTGCGGCACTTCGTATCGAAGCATACCGACGTGCGAGACCTGCTCGCCAAGAGCCGGGCCGGTGACCTGGAGGCGTACGAGAAGATCCTGAGCATGGTGGAGAGGAAGGTCGCGGACGGGTTGCTCGAGTACGAGAAGGCCGGACCCGCCATGTTCGAGGGCGACGAGGTCCTGGGCCCCACGGCGGACCCGGACGAGGTGATCGAGGAGGACGGGGAGAGCTCTCGGGGCGCCATCAAGCGGTGCAAGAGGCCGTGGTGGGTCGTGCAGCCCATCATCCGGCCCCTGCCCAAGGAGGCCCTGGCCAAGGGGGCCGTGTCGATGAGCAAGAAGGACAAGGCCAAGATGGACAAGGCTGAAAACGGCGAGACTGCCGGCGGCGAGGCGGCAGCCGAGGCAGCGAACGGCAAGGCCAAAGGGGAGACGGCGGCGGGGCAGAGCGTTCAGGAAAAAGTGCTGGAGACAGATGACAAGTTACTCGCGGGCTGAAGTGATTCTCCATCACGAATGGAAAAAAAAAAAATTTACCATACAACAAAAATATACCCCTCCATCTTCCAAGATGTTTGATGTAGGAACATGGAGTTGAGGACTGGGCGGAGTAAGCCCTCCTTCCTCTCTCTCTCTCCTTTGAGAATGTTGACTGCATAGCCACCAGCCCCGGGAGGTCATCGGAGATTTTATTATACAAAAGCCAAAGCGATTAAAACGACCTTCTTTCGTCAAACCCCACAGCCGCCCACAAACGCCGTTTTCTTTTTTTCTTTCTTTTTTTCTTTTTTCGTCACAACTTGGCCTTGGCGCTGTCGTACCTCTTGCCCTCGTCGTCCTGCTCTCTAACGGTGAGGTCCGGCAGCACCGCCGGCATGATCCTCCGCGGCCGCGCGCCGGGGACGAGGGCGTACCTCGAAAAGTCGGTGACGCCGGCGTGGTCCCGCAGGAAGTCCTCGTCCAGCACGAGCTCGCCGTTGACCCGGCCGGCCGGGGCGCGCAGGATGGCGAGCACGGCGTCGGAGAAGATGGTCGGCCGGCGCAGGTCCCTCGACTCGGCCGGGTCGGCAGCCTGGAACTTCCGCGTGGCGGCCGACTCGATGGCCTGGCACAAACGTATCGTCGTCGTCAGCTCACAAAGTTTGTCTGATCGGACGGGGAAGGGGGGCGTTGTGGCAGATGCAGGCGGAGACTTTGGGCTGCAATACATACCACGGCGGGCCAGATGCTCGTGATGGCCATCTCGTCCAGCCCCTGCCGGGCAAAGTCCATGGCCAGGCCCTTGGTCAGGACGCTCATGCCTACCTTGCCCATGGCGTAGGCCGTCTTGCCGCGGAAGAAGCGACTGTAGATGGGTGGGCTGACGACGACGACGCGGCCGCGGCCGCGGCGCTTGAGGTGCGGGAGCGCTGCGTGGAGGGTCAGGTAGAGGCCCTCTGGGTTCACGCGCTGCATCAGCTGGAAGCGCTTGGGTGGCGTGTCCTCGACCGAAGACCACCAGATGGCGCCAGAATTGTAGACCAGGACGTCGAGGCGCCCGTACCTCTGGAGGGAAGGCGGGGGGGTGATGTGTTAGTTGGCTTTTGGCAGCGGATGAAGAGAGGAGCTGGGCGAGTGGAGGGGGGAGGATAAGAGGACCTACCTCTACTGTCTGCTCGACCATTCGTGCCACGCTGTCCTGGTCGCGAATGTCTACAGCAATGGGAGTCGCGTCGCCGCCCGCTTCGTGGATCTCCCGGGCGACTGTGCTGACCGTCGATTGTTGCGAGTTGGGATCCGGCGGGAACGGCCTGGTCTTGGACGCATCGCTGGTAGTCTTTGCTGCCACAACGACTAGGACTAGTCAACGATCAAGTCCTTCTTTTTCTTTTCTTTTCTTTTCTTTTCTTCTTCTTCTGGTTGAGGACCATGAGCTTGAGAAAGGGGGGTTATCAATACCCGTGTAGCCATTTTTTGCGAGGTCGATTGCGATCTGTCGACCGATGCCTCTGGAGGCGCCGACTACGAGAGCTACCTGCTTTCCGTCGTCCATCGTTCCTGATATACACCCTTGGAGGGATGAGTGGTTATGTTTAGTTTAGTGGCTAGACGAAGATGGAATCAGGACATGCCGAATGCGCGACCAGAGATGCAGAATTACCTGTCTTGTAATTGACGCACAGTCCCTTTTATCACAAGCTGTTGATGCATGAGATGTGATCTGGAATAGTAAACATGTCGTTGGGGCTCGGCGGAATTGCGTATTAGTGATCGTTGCGCCCCCAAGCCGGGGCTAGCTATCCGACCCCGGATTCCAGCACTCGATGCCGAGGTTCCCCACGCCATCCACCTCAACTTCACCCTTCAACTCTCACAGCCCCCCCCCCCCCCCCCCAATCCTGCTGCCTCAACACATTCTGCAGAATAATTGCGCCATAGATAAGCTACGGATCAAACAAACCGGTTGCCCTCCTTGCTCGTTTACTGCTTTGTACAAACATCTGCAGCCATATCGATCGTTCCGAACACCGCCAAGATGGGCGGCAAGGTCGATGCTTATTTGGACATCGGTGGGTCTTAGTTTATTATGAGCATACGTTGTCGCAGAGCTGACTGGTTCCCGGGCGCAAGCATCTCTGTACAGCTACATCGCATTTTACCACATAATCAAGAACCAAGAGCTCCTCGCGGCGCATGGAGTGCATGTAGAGTTGGTTGCCGCATTTTCCTCCTTCCATACAATCACTTGGTAACACACCTCTTCCTCAGCATCCATCCAATCCTGCTTGGCGCCGTCAACGCCGCTACAGGTAAGCAACTCCTGATGCCGCCGTCCCGTTCTGCCCTCCTCAATAACCATGCACAGGAAACAAACCACCGTGGTCCCTCCCGGCTAAGGCCAAGTACGGCAGCTTTGACGCCCGCCGGTCCTCCGTGCGGGTGGGCAAGCCCGATATCACCCCGCCCGACAACTTCATGGAGAGCACCATGACGGTCCTTCCCCTCCGCGCGCTACATTTCATCAAAGCCAACTATCCGGACGCTACGTACCTGACGGCCTGGCACTGGCTTCTCCACCGTTTCTGGGAGCCACCCAACGTCAACCTCACCAAGCCCGACGCCCTGGCCACGGCGCTGGCCGAAGCCCCGCGGCAGTACCCTGGCGACACCAAGGACCGGCTGTTCAGCGACGCGGATGTCGGGAGGATCCTGGAGGGGGCCGCGGCGCAGGAGACCAAGGACTCGGTCAGGGCGAAGACGCAGGAGGCGATCGAGCGGGGCGCGTTCGGCGCGCCCTGGTTCTGGGTTGTGAACGACGAGGGCAAGGGAGAACCGTTCTTTGGGAGCGACAGGTTTCACTTCATGTATGATTTTTTGGGCGTCCCGTACCAGGATGTCGCCATCCTCCCGCCGCAAAGCAAAGGCGCGAAGCTGTAGGTAACCCAACACGAGTGGTTTTAATTGTAAATAGAATTTGGGGGCGGGGGGTATCTCTGATAACTAAAACAAGATAAAAAAATAAAAAAAACGCCGAACCGTACCATGAAGTGAGGCCTTACGGCCTGCCAAACCAAAAACAGGACTCGGCCCGATCTCACAGCACGCGGCCGGCCAACCTCGCGCGGCGGGCCTCCTCCTCCCTCTTGGCCTCGCTGCGCGCCAGGAAGTCCTGCCTCTCGGCGTACGATCCCTTGGCCCGGCCCGCCAGCTCGAGCTCGTCCTTGAGCCCCTCCTTGTCGACGAAGCCGGCCCAGTCCATCTTGCTCTTCTCGACCGTGTTGAGCTTCTTGGCCTGCGCCTCCTTCTCGCGCGCCTTGATCCGCACCGCCACGCCGAGGTTCAGGTCGGACCGCTGGCCCGCGACCTCGATGACCGGTTCAAAGGCCGACCGGAACGCCTTCTTGAGCACCCGCTTGGGCTCCTCCTCCTCCTCCTCCTGCCCCTCCCCCCCGCCCTCCGCGGCGTCCTTCCCGAGTGAGGCAAGGTAGAGCCTCGCCTCGGCCGAGGAGCGCGCCACGAGCTTCTCTTCCGTGTGGACCTTGCCGGCGAAGTTGTAAGTCCGTTTGATGCGTATCATATCCGAGGGGTCGTCGCCGCCGAGGGCCTCGTCTGGCTTCGTCGCGTCGGCTTCGGCGCCGGGCTCCTTGGCCCCGTCGGGATCGGCTTCCTCGGCGGTCTTGTCTTCGGTGGTCGGCGGCGTCACCGTCTGACCCGCGAGCATCTGTGCCCAGATCGCTTCGACGTCGACCGTTACCGGGCCGGACACTGCCGCCGTCTTGCGCTCCTGCTTTCTGTAGCCCCTCTAGTCAGTACGGTCGCTTCAACCGAAGGGAAGCCGGGAAAAGAACGAGAGAGAGAGAGAAAGAGAGAGAGAGAGAGAGAGAGAGAGAGAGAGAGAGAGAGAGAGAGAGAGAGAGAGAGAGAGAGAGAGAGAGAGAGAAAGAGAGAGGAAAAGGTATCGACTCACTCTGCGGCGCGCATGCTCCGCGTCTTGACCAACCCTCCATCGCCCCCCTCGTCCTCCTCGTCCGGGGCGGCGGCGGCGGCGGCGGCGGCGTCCGCATCCTTGGTCTTCCTGCGCCTCTTCTTATTCGCCTTCTTGATCAGAGCCTCGTCGCCCGAGTTCTCGAAGCCCGCGTCTTCGGCCTCGCCGCCGTCGGCGTCGCGCTTACGTTTAGCGAGCTTCGTCGCCGCCGCCGCGGCGTCTTCGCCGTCGGTCTCGGAATCGGACGCCTCGGAGGCGCCATCTGCTGCGATGGCGTCCTCGGGCGCGAAGTCGGAGTCCTGCGAGGACTCGTACTCTTCGTCGTCTACTATTGGATCAGGCAGCATTTCTTTTCTGTTGCCGATGTAAAGTGTGTCGAGGACTGGGAGAATTGGTTACTGCAAGGGGATGCAGACGCGTGCAGAACAGGAAAGTTTAGTCGGCTGCCGTCGGTACAGTGTTGACCGAATGTTTTCGGTGGGGTTCGGTGTGTGACCAATCACGTCTCGAATTACCCGTGCCGGCCAGGAAAAATGCCCGGACGGCGAGCCACTTAGCAGCCAACCGTGGTCTTCGGCAACATTTGGGGGTGCTCTGTTGAGAGCTTGTCGTACACTGCCCCTTCGCCCCTTGTATCTTATTATGCTGTTATCAACTGCACGTTGTGCTGGTACGCCGCGCGAACTGCGTGCGGGACGTTGCAACGCGTCTTCCACGTCCCAACCCGAGATCCCAGCCACTTGTCTCGATGCAGTACGCTTCATCGCCCTAAATGCTGACGTTGAAATTGCTACCAATTTATTCATATGAATAACCGGATGTCAGCAAAGACTCTGCCATGACGCACAGCCCCTTTATCGCAATGCAATTCCCCCCGCAACCCAGCTCACTTTACCCGGTTGAGGGCATCATGACTTTTGCTTCCTTGAGAGGGGGATCGACACAGATCCATTCTTTGTCTATTTAGCCGGTCTCATGAACTCTAGCTTAACGCCATGGGAGCCTTGAAGGCACTTTTTTCTGATTGGGCCTGCCCCCGTGTCTTCCAGGCATTCGAAGCCCTATGAAAGGGGGAGGGATTGAGGCGTGGCTGTACCGAATCGTATGTTTTCGCAGCAAATGTGACAAACTCGTTCCCCCTCGTCCAATAAAATGGCTGCGGAATGGTGTTGGTTCTGATTTCCCTTTCCCCGCACAAGCTGGGCATCCTGTTACCACCGGTTGGTTCGCGGTTCTAAGTTCGCGGGGCACATGTTCCCCTCCATGGGGGTCTATAAGAACCTCCATCTCAGTGCAAATGTCCGGAACTCACTCCGTCCAGGTCTAACGATATACGAGTTGGGTTCTGGCCGGTTTCTCTGCTATTTCTTTTCGTTTCCCTCGGCCAATATTTCAAACTGCTTGCTCATCGTTGACTACCGCCTCTATCGGAGCCACCCACCTTATAAGTTGACTGAATAAGTTATTCTTCAGTCGTCCGCGGCCATGTCATCCCCGGCTGAGCCTCTCACCGAGTCTCAAAAAGAGCACTTCAGACAACATGGTTGGCTTAAGCTGAGCAATTGCTTTACCAAGGAACAGGCGGATTGGGTCACCAAGGACGTCTGGACACGCCTGGGCATGGATCCCAACGACAAGTCGACCTGGAAGCCGCGAACGAACATGCCTCACCACCGCGAATTCGACGCTTCAGAGTTCGCCCCGAGGGCCTGGGCAGCCATCTGCGAGGTGTGCGGCGGAGAGGACCGCATTACGCCCGAATCGAAGCAGTGGAAGGACTCGCTCATCGTCAACCTCGGAAGCGAGGAGAACGAGGGTCGCGAGGTCGACCCCAAACAGTTGGACATCTGGCACGTGGACGGCGATTTCTTCGTCCATTACCTCGACTCCCCGGAACAGGGGTTGCTGGTGATTCCGCTGTTCACGGATATCGTCCCTGGCGGTGGCGCGACGTTCATCTGCCCCGAGGCGATACCCAAGATCGCGAAGCACCTTCACGACCACCCAGACGGCGTCTCGGTGCGAATGGCACCGAGAGGCGATCCGGAATTCGCAAAGCCGGCGAGCCTCGACTGGTATAACTCGCTCGCCCGAAGCTGCGACGGGTTCGTCGAGGCCCACGGCAACGTGGGCGACGTCTATCTGCTTCATCCCCTCATGTTGCACACCATCTCGTGGAACCCTCTTAGGCGGCTGAGAATTATCACTAACCCTCCGGTCTCTCTTACCAAGCCCCACGACTTCAACAGGCCGGACGGCGCTTATAGCCTTGTGGAGCAGACCACCTTGAGGGCCTTGGGCGTGGAGTCGCTGCCCGAATGGAAGATTACGGCTGCCCGGGAGAAGGTCGTCCCGGAGAGGATCAAGGTGCAGGAGCGGATGAAGCAGGAGGAATTGAAGCGGCTTGCAGCTGTTGCCTCCTAGACGGATAGATATGAGTACAACATGGGTTCTCAGGATCTGTAAACCATTAGAAAACCGAACAATATCAACGCTCCAGGACCAGACCGTGCACAGAATACACTCCATCAACGGTTGTCCTGACACCAGTGCACATTATCAGAAGCAATTTATCACAATACGCCGCGCATTACTACCTCGCATAAGCCCCCCGAGAATAATCCCGCCCTGCGACATGCTTGTTGCTTCGGCACCGAGTAAATTCCCAGCTAACAAGAAGATGGAGAGTAGTCGAACGACATGCCGCTCTTTATGGTGCAACCTCCCTACCTCGCATGCGAAGCAGTGACTATCTCACTGGTCTGATGCACCGGTGGACTCCATTGTCCAATGTCACGAGGAGCCGTTTAACATGTGAAGTTCAAAGAAGCCCCCGCAAAAAAAATGTGACATCAAGAGGTTTTCATGCCCAGCCTCAGTAACACTAAGCCAGTATTGGACCAATCTCGCGGAGCCGTAACATATCTGAAATGCCGTGGTATGAAGATGATCTGGCTAGGAGAAGTCTGCAGGTAGTGATGGTCATGATTGGGGACAAATTGCGTGAGTGTGTCGTCCGCTATGCCCGTCTCGGAGCGTTTGATGACGGCGAAGTACCAAGCAGGCAGGCTCGATGCCCTGGAATCAAATATCCGTCAGCGTCCTTCCTCGACTTCGACAACATGCATTGTCCTGGCATCTCGTTGAGTACACTGGTATGTGTAGGGGACATCTTTCTTTAGCTTTCACACAGGCTTCTCTCATGAAGGACCTTACTATGAAACATGCATTTTCTCCAGAGTAATCAAAGTTTTGACATGCGTCTCATTAACACTGTTTAAAAAGTGGTAACATCGTTATTCGGCAACTATTACTCTAGAATACTACTTTATTCCCTTCGCTGTCAGAATGATAAAATATTTACGGAACAAAACTATGTTCGTCTCATACGCATATCCCTTGACGCAATCAGTCGATCGCGGACGATTACGGCTGTGTGGCTATATTGCGTCTATAAATTGCGATTTTGCTCGTATCCATCTCACCCTGAACCTGAGCCACATGTCCTTCGAGTCAAGTAAACCAAACGAGACACAATGGCCCCACATCAACAGTATGGAGTACTTCCGTGTGCCACCACGTTGGCTCTTTGTCAAAATCACCGACGAGAATGCCGTTATGCCTGGGGTGAGACTATCCTGGAGGACCATACTCAGGTAGATCTAGAAAGGTCAATTCACTGGTATGGATGCCGAGTAAGTCGAAAGCTTCGATGCGGGTCCCAACGGCTCGTCACACAGACCTGGACGTCATGGTTGGCAACGAGGACCTAACAAGTTGCACCAATGACCCGGAGGTTTGGAACCCGTCGATGGCTACATTGATATTCCTAGGGCTCAGGTCTGGGAATCGGGAAGGTTGACGAGGAGAAGGTGGGTGCGTTGTCGAAGAACTGCGAGATCCGGCTTACGTCCGGGTTCGACGGGCGGTGAGATCCGTGAATAGCGACTTGAAATTGAAGTATACATACGGCCGAATCTCTCAAAGTGCCAGTATCGAGATGAAGAATCTCGGTCATCCAGGGGTACCCAATAGCGAGGTGGATCGAGATGACCCCTTTCATTCGCGTGCAACACACTATCTTACAAATGCGATGCATTCTTTGATGCCGTGAGGAACTGGCGTGGTTCGATTCGTGGAATAAGGTTAGCCACACATTGTCCTTCAGTTTTTCATGTGCCGACCGACCGACCGACCATTGTACTGGGAGCGAACGGGTAGCTTCCTGTTCTAGCGGTGTCTCGCCTTGCGCTGATGATCTGTCGTGAGGTTGACCATGAGCCGTTGGGCGCTTTGACCACCACCTTCACCAAAGGTACAGCGCTAATTAAGTTTCGGTTAGGCATGTAGGGCCCCTGCTGTAGTGCTCCTGCCTGACATCACCCCCATCTACAGTCACTTGCGTACCTGGCTGGCGTGGGTAGATCTTGGGACCATATCCGAATTAATCCTTTTTCCAGTTTTCCTCCTGACACACCTCTTTGCCTCCTCACACAGCCGAGAATACCACCACAATGAGCAGCGACGGCGAGGATTTCGTGGTCGAAGGCCCCGAGCTGGCCGAGGACGATCCCATGCGCGCATTCCTCCCAGCTTCATTTGGGAAAAAGTCAAAGGAAGCCAACATCGCAGCCCAGATCGACCGGAGCCGAAGAACCGCAGAGAAGCCCTCGACAGGAACACCCCACGAGGCATCCGCAGCAGGTCCGCCATCAGCTGCCCAGAAAGCGAAAAAGCCCGACTCAGACAATGACAGTGATAGCGACGGGTCGGACTCGGACTCTGACGACTCTGAAGATGGCGATGACTACCCAGTCTCGCACGAACTGGTTCTGAAAACACACGAGAGAGCCGTGACGACGGTCGCGCTGGACCCGGCCGGAGGACGACTTGTGTCAGCGTCGCTTGACTGCAAGATCAACCTGCACGATTTCGCATCCATGACACCGAGTACTCTCCGAGCATTCCGAAGCGTCGACCCATGGGAAGCCAAGTCCTCTGCGGTGAACTCCGAATCGCACCCGATCCACCATGTCGAGTTCAACCCCCTATCCGGGAGCGTCTTCCTCTGCGTCTCCGCCCACCCGCAGGCCAAGATCATGTCGAGGGACGGCGATATTGTTACCGAATTCGTCAAGGGAGACATGTACTTGAGGGACATGAACAATACCAAGGGCCACATCTCAGAAGTTACGACAGGAACTTGGCACCCCACTGACAGAAACCTCTGCGTCACTGCCGGCACCGACAGCACTCTCCGGATCTGGGACATCAATAACAAACGCAGCCAAAGGGACGTAATTGTCTTCAAGTCGAAAGCAGCGGGGTCTGCGGGCCGAACAAGGATGACTGCCGTCGCATGGGGCGCGCCAGCACAAGGTGGTAACAACGTGCTTGTTGCCGCTGCGCTCGACGGCTCCCTGGTCATGTATAGCGGCAACAGCCCGTTCTCAAGGCCCTCGGCCGAGATCCGAGACGCTCACAAGCCGGATACCTGGACTGGAGGCATCGATATCTCTTCCGACGGTCGGATGGTCGTAACGCGGGGAGGCGACAACACGATCAAGCTGTGGGATACGCGAAAGTTCAAGACGCCTCTTGTTACGGTGGACCATGCGTCAACGTCGGATCATTTCCCGATGAGCAACATCAAATACTCGCCAAACTCGACCAGCATCCTGACGGGTTCGGCAACGGGCGACTTGCACATTTTGAACCCTGGAAACTTGCGGCCCGAACACGTCACGCCCATTACTCCAGGGGCGCCCCTCATCACCGTCAACTGGCATCCCAAGATCAACCAGATTATTACGGGTTCAGCGAACGGCGAGACACATGTGATGTACAACCCGACCATGTCTACTCGGGGTGCTGTCGAGGTAATGTCGCGGGCGCCGAAGAAGCGCCACATTGACGACGACCCTTCTCGAACTACGGACATGTCTGTTGGCATGTCGGGAGACTCCATCGTTACACCGGGCAGTGTGATGGCTGGCAGGAGAAACGCGGGAGTGACGGCGTCAGGCAAGTCTCGAGACCCCAGGAGACCGGCTGTGTTGGAGCAGACACCATTTATGAGGAACCAGCCCGATGAAAAGCATATCGCAGAAAATATTCCTCTCGCGAAGATGCTTCACGAAGATCCAAGGGAAGCACTCCTCAAATATGCCGACGCTGCGCAGAAAGACCCGATGTTCACTGCTGCGTGGCAGAAAACGCAGCCAGTAACTCAGTACGCGGATGTGAGCGACGGCGAAGAGGAAGGGCCCGACAAGAAGAAGGTGAAGCGGTAAGGAATGGGGCGGGCCGATCATACGCCTCGGCCGGCAGCTGCGTGTGGTATTTCGTGGGGGAGGGGGGGGCACGGTCGGAGGGAGCATGAGTCTAAATTTGGAGGAGGAAAGGGCAAACATTGGCTGGATTGGACTCATTGGAGTCAGGGCGAGCTAACCAAGGGATCAATCAGCAGCAGGACACTGGAGAGATGGAGGAGACCGAGGTGGCAAGAGTTCTTTGCGGCCTGCGTGTTTCCAAGGGATCTCTCCACTTGTTCATCTTTCCATCAGATTAGCTTCGCTGGGAGCAGCCGTCAAACGCAACGCGGCAGGCAAAGCACTTGCAGGAGTGTGGACATCCCCGCCACAGCCAACTCATCAGGCCAGGCCCGCCGGGGGTGTGTGTGCCTTAGCCAACGAGCGACTGGAGGCCCACGACGAGAGATTGACGCGCCTCCAACCCGCTGGCAACTCTTGGACCCTTTACTTTCTTCTCTCCCTTCTTGTTGTCCCCTTCTTAAGCTACCCAACTGGAAGCGAGAGGCGACAGATGCCAAGTGGCGTGGATCCGGCGGCATTCCTTGGTGGTGGCCGATGGTTACCCGACCCGACAGGCCAGGCCAGGCCAGGCCACACGCGTTTGACACCCGTGCTTACCCTCCTCTGTGGTGTGGTATTATAGCGTAGACGGTTTGAGGAGGCGCAGGCTGGCAGGGTGTGTGGGCGGGCTAGTAACCGAAGCCAGCCAGCCAGTCGGCCGCCAGTGCCTGTCTGCAATAATGCACGGAAAAGCCTGGCCCGAGCGTTCTCGCTTATACGTAAACAGACTAGCGTCTCCTGCCTCAGGCATCCATAATCTTTCCTGTGCTGAGAATTACGGGGGCCGCAGTTTCACAGACTGACCGCACCAACCATCAATGAATCTTGTCGTTGTCCTCACCTCTCCATCTCAACCGGCACCGCGCGCATCGAAAAATCGCCAAAACCCCCTCCACAGGCATCGATACCCATCTCGAAAAGTGTCGAGCAACCTTTTCCACGCGATTTCCTCGCGCATCCCGCTCGAGGCAACGCCTTGACGCCGCGCCTTTTCCCTCCCCCCCAACTCCCGTTTTTCGCCTCGCGTCCCATTCATCTTCCACGCATTTTTTCCCCCCACGCCTCGCGGCACCGCATTCGCATCCCCCATTTCCCATCGACCTCTGCCGCCGAACTCCATCCTTCCATCTTGGTGAGCTTGCTTATACGCGACCGACGTGTCTCCGTTCCGACCACGCCATCGCGATTGCCGCCTCCGAACCACACCGCCGCCTCAAAGCCGTCCGTCACGACAACGACGCGCCGCATTTTTATCGTCCACTGTCACTATTAGCCTTCTAGTCTCTCTTTTCGCGCGACGGGCCCGGCGCGACCAACCTTGACCACGGCTCCACTTGTCAACACTTGACACGCCCTTCGCATGATAATGCGCGCGAGATCGTCGTTGCATCTCTAGAGATACACGTAGTCAATCGATTTGCAGTAAAACACTGCCCATCATGGCTTCCGTTCAGGCAGCCCCTGCCGTCCAGCTCCCTGGCGCCGGCATGGCAGCCACCACTCCTCAACAGGCTCAAGAGATCTTCAACGTAAGACTATTCTGTACACGGCTCTTCCCACCCCTTCTGCATCCTCGTGACCCCTGCACATCCTTTTCGTCACCTTTTTTTTATGGATGATACTAATGCCTCCCAGAAATTTAAGCAGATGAGGGAGAGTGGCGTCCCTAACACCGATCCCGAATACATCAAGGCCGAGCAATTCGTTCTGTCCTTCCAACAACAGGCGCGTCTGCGACAGAAGCAACAGGCGTTCCTTCAACACCAGCAGCAACAGATGCAACAACAGCGACAGATGCAGCAGGGCGGAACCAACGGTGCTGTGAATGGCGCGCATCCCGCCCAGCAGCAGCCTCAACAGCAGCAGCAGCAGCAGCAGCAGCCGCCGCCAACTCAGTCTACACAACCTCCCACGTCTGGTGCGCTTGGCGGCTCTGCGCTTCCCTCAGCAAGCTCAAATATCGCAGGCCCTACCGCCGGCTCACCGTCTACGACTGCTCCTTCCAGCGGGCCCGGCGCTGGTCAATTCAACCCTCAGCAACTGAGTTTGCTTCGCCAACAGATCCATGCATTCAAGCTGTTGACCAAGAATGCCGGCGTTCCTTTGCAGATGCAGCAGGCCATCTTCGCTCAACGCGAGCGAAGGAAAGCCATGGCCGCCGAGGCAGCCGCTCTGGCAGCTTCATCAACACCGGCAGCTGCTTCTCAAGACTCCGCACAGCCCGGTCCGAATGGCGCCGAACCCAAGTCTGAGCTGCCCGAGGTTCAGGGACCAACTTTCAAGGCCGTCAAGTCTCCTTTCAATGACCCCAACCTGATCCGCAAGTCAATTACCCATTTCGACCACACCCAGCGTAGGAACCGGAAGCTTATTCCCGGACTCTTCCCAACCGGTGTGGACTTCGACCAGCTGCGGTACGAAAGGGAAGTGATTTTGTTCAACCGGATGCGCGACCGTTACGCTGAGCTCAAAAACACCCCAGCAAACATCGCCCACTGGGACACCACCAAGGATGATGTCGAGCTAGATGACAGTGCCAAGGTCAAGGCCATCATCGAGATGAAGAGCCTAGGCTTGTACGCCAAGCAGAGGGCGTTACGCGACAAGATTGGACGCTCGATGATGTTCTACGACAACCTTGCCATGACCACCAACCGTTCTAGCTACCGCCGCACAAAGAAGATGACTGTCCGTGAGGCCAGGATCACCGAGAAGCTTGAGAAGCAACAACGCGACATCCGGGAGAACCGCGAGAAGAAGAGACACACCGACTTTCTCGCTGCCATTACTCAGCACAGGAACGAGATCCAGCAAACCGCCGCAAGCCAGCGCAACAAGTCGACCAAGCTTAACAAGCTCATGTTTTCCCAGCACTACAACATCGAGAAGGAAGAGCAGAAGAGAATCGAGCGTACCGCCAAGCAGCGTCTGCAGGCTCTCAAGGCCAATGACGAAGAAGCGTATCTCAAGCTGCTCGACGAAGCCAAGGATACCCGTATCACTCACCTTCTCAGGCAAACCGATGGATTCTTGCGCCAACTCGCCGCTTCCGTCAAGTCCCAGCAAAGGAAAGCTCTTGCAGAGCAAACTGGAGAGGAACAGATGCCAGAGGAAGAGGAAGAGGAAGAGAGCGAGCCGGAAGATGACGAGGGCGACACGAGTGGAAGGAAGATCGACTACTATGCTGTTGCCCACAAAATCAAGGAGGAGGTCACTGAGCAGGCCGACATACTCGTTGGTGGTAAGCTCAAGGAGTACCAGATCAAGGGTCTCCAGTGGATGATTTCACTGTACAACAACAACCTGAACGGTATCCTTGCAGACGAGATGGGTCTCGGCAAGACCATCCAGACCATCAGTTTGGTTACTTATCTCATCGAGCGCAAGAAGCAAGAAGGGCCGTACCTGGTCATCGTGCCTCTTAGTACTCTGACCAATTGGACCCTTGAATTCGAGAAGTGGGCCCCGTCTGTTAGCAAGATCGTCTACAAGGGACCTCCTCTTGTCAGAAAACAACAGCAGGACCTCATTCGGCAAGGACGCTTCCAAGTGTTGCTCACCACGTACGAGTACATCATCAAGGACCGCCCAGTTCTTAGCAAGATCAAGTGGTTCCATATGATCATCGACGAAGGTCACCGCATGAAGAACCAGAACTCAAAGTTGACGTCTACCATCCAGCAATACTACCATACCCGATTCCGCCTTATTTTGACCGGTACGCCGCTGCAGAACAACCTTACTGAGCTTTGGGCCATGCTCAACTTCACACTTCCCACCATCTTCAAGTCGGCAAAGACTTTCGACGAATGGTTCAACACACCTTTTGCCAACACCGGCGGGCAAGACAAGATGGACCTCACGGAAGAAGAACAGATTCTCGTCATTCGTCGTCTGCACAAGGTGCTCCGTCCCTTCCTGCTCCGTCGTCTGAAGAAGGACGTCGAAAAGGACCTTCCGGACAAGACAGAAAAGGTCATCAAGTGCAAGTTCTCGGCCCTGCAAAGCAAGTTATACAAGCAGATGGTCACGCACAACAAGATTGTCGTCAGCGACGGACAGGGTGGCAAGGCCGGTGCTCGTGGTCTGAGCAACATGATTATGCAGCTTCGCAAGCTTTGCAACCATCCCTTCGTTTTCGGCGAGGTCGAGAATACCATGAACCCCCTGAACATCAGCAATGACATGCTCTGGAGAACAGCTGGAAAGTTCGAGCTCCTGGACCGTGTTCTTCCCAAGTACAAGGCAACGGGCCATCGCGTCCTCATGTTCTTCCAGATGACGGCCATCATGGACATTATGGAAGATTACCTTCGATACCGCAACCTGAAGTATCTCCGTCTGGATGGTACGACCAAGTCAGACGAGCGTTCTGATCTGTTGCGCGAGTTCAATGCCCCGGACTCCGAGTACTTCATGTTCTTGCTTTCGACCCGTGCCGGTGGTCTTGGTCTCAATTTGCAGACCGCCGACACCGTTATCATCTACGATTCCGACTGGAACCCTCACCAAGATTTGCAAGCTCAAGATCGTGCCCATCGTATTGGACAAAAGAACGAGGTTCGCATTCTGCGTCTCATCAGCTCCAACTCGGTCGAAGAGAAGATTCTGGAAAGAGCCAGGTTCAAGCTTGATATGGACGGCAAGGTCATTCAAGCCGGTCGTTTTGATAACAAGTCCACGGAAACGGATCGTGACGCCATGTTGCGCACCCTCCTGGAGAGCGCCGACCTCGCAGAGACCGGCGAGCAGGATGAGATGGATGATGAGGAGCTGAATATGCTCCTCGCCCGTAGTGATGACGAGGTGGCCGTCTTCCAGAAGCTCGACGAAGAGCGCAGGAGGGACCCGATCTATGGCGAAGCAGCTGGCGCGAAGGCCAAGCCTCGTCTTTTGGGAGAGGACGAACTTCCCGAGATCTACCTTGGAGATGGCAACCCGGTAGAAGTAGAGGTTGAAACGAGTCTCGGACGCGGGGCCCGTGAGCGAACCAAGGTCCGCTACGACGATGGCCTCACGGAAGAGCAATGGCTCATGGCTGTTGACGACGACGAGGACTCCCCCGAGGCCGCTGCTGCACGCAAGCAAGCCCGCAAGGACAAGAGAGAGAACAACCGACTCAAGAGAGCAGCCTTGTCGAATGCTGCAGAAGTGTCTCCTTCAGCGAGTCGCGCAAGCACCGAGGAGGTGGAAACCCCCAAGAAACGAGGTCGCAAGCCCGGCAGCAAGAACCAGGAGAAGCGCAAGGCAGACGATGGCGAGGATGAACCACCGGCAAAGAAGCGTCGCGGACCTCAAGGCAGACCCAAGGCGGTCTCCGTCTCTGCTGGATCTGGTGCGCCGGGAATCTCGGCACAGCAGCGCCAGTCCCTCCAGGCAAGCGCGCGTGCTTTGTTTGACGGACTCATGAACCTCGAGGTCGATGATCCCGAGCCCCCAGAGGAGGACGACGACGAGTCGGTGGCGGGCAAGCGGATCATCATTGGTCCCTTCCTTGCCCTGCCCCCCAAGCGCGACTACGCCGACTACTACCTGATCATCCAGAACCCCATCTCGATGAAACAGATCGAGCAAAAGATCAAAAAGCAGCAGTACTACAGCCTCGGCGACATGCGCAAGGATGTTGATCTCATGTTTAGCAACTGTCAAACGTACAACGAAGAGGCTTCGCTGCTGTATCAGGATTCCCTGACCCTTCAGGT